AAAAAATATACTAACAGGGATAAAGTATTAAGTTGTTCATTGGAAGTCAGGACAAGGGCTGATCAAGTCACTGTTTCTCATAGTGTCCATTTCACTTCAATAGGTTTCCTTTTTGGTGTTTGGTAAGTTGTCACCGATCAGGGAGAACATATGATATTTGTCCCTTTGGGACAGGCTTATTTCACTCAGCATGATATTTTCCAGATTCCTCCATTTTGTTGCAAATGACCAGATTTCATTGTTTTTTTTGTTTGTTTGTTTGTTCGTTTGTTTTGTTTTGTTTTTTACTGCCGTATAGTATTCTATAGAGTACATATCCCATAATTTCTTTATCCAGTCTACTGTTGATGGGCATTTAGGTTGATTCCAGGTCTTAGCTAATGTGAATTGAGCTGCAATAAACATTAGGGTGCAGACAGCTTTTTTATTTACCAATTTAATTTCCTTTGGGTAAATTCCAAGGAGTAGGATGGCTGGGTTGTATGGTAGGGTTATCTTCAGATTTCTGAGGAATCTCCAGTCTGACTTCCATAGTGGCTTGACCAGTTTGCATTCCCACCCACAGTGGGTTAGTGTCCCTTTTTCCCCACATCCTCGCCAGCATCTGTTGTTGGTAGATTTCTGTATGTGAGCCATTCTAACTGGGGTGAGGTGAAACCTCATTGTGGTTTTGATTTGCATTTCCCTGATTGCTAATGACCATGAACATTTTTTTCATGTGCCTGTTGGCCATTTGGATTTCCTCTTTTGAAAAATGTCTATTGAGGTCCTTGGCCCATCTCTTAAGTGGGTTGTTGGTTGTTGTTGTGGAGTTTCTTGATCTCTCTGTAGATTCTGTTTATTAATCCTTTATCTGTTGCATAGTTTGCAAATATTTTTTCCCATTCTGTCGGTTATCTCTTCACTCTCCTGACTGTTTCTTTTGCAGTACAGAAACTTCTCAATTTGATGCAATCCCAATAGTTGATTTTGGCTTTGACTGCCTGTGCCTCCCTGGTCTTTTCCAGAAATTCTTTGCCTGTGCCAATATCTTCAAGGGTTTCTCCAATGTTCTCTAATAACTTGATGGTGTCAGGTCGTAGATTTAGGTCTTTAATCCATGTTGAGTGCACAAAAATCAACAGCCTTTGTATACAAGGCAATTCCTCAGCTGAGAAAGAATTGCTAAGATTAATCACATTCACAATAGCTACAAAAACAATCAAATACCTTGGAATAAACTTAACCAAGGATGTTAAAATCTCTAAAATGAGAATTACAAAATCTTAAAGAAATAGAAGAGGATACCAAAAAATGGAAAAATCTTCCATGCTCATGGATTGAAGAATCCATATCATCAAAATGTCCATTCTCCCAAAAGCAATTTACAGATTCAATGCGATACGAATCAAAATACCAAAGACATTCTTCTCAGATCTGGAAAAAAATGATGCTGAAATTCATATGGAGACACAGGTGACCTCAAATCGCTAAAGCAATCTTGTACAACAAAAACAAAGCTGGAGGCATCACAATACCAGATTTCAGGACATACTACAGGGCAGTTATAATCAAAACAGCCTGGTGCTGGTACAGAAACAGATAGATAGACCAACGGAACAGAATAGAAACACCAGAAACCAATCCAAACATCTACAGCCAACCTATAATTTTGAATTTTAACATTCATATGTTTTACATAGAGAGTAAGCATGTGTTTACTGAAATACTCATTTCTTAACTTACAATACTAAAGTAGATGTCACATTTCTGTCCATGAAGAGTACTTTGCTTTGACTTAGCCTCACTCTGTAGCATCACTGACTCTGCTCTGTTTCAACACAGAAATCACTGAATGGAATTTTTTATTGAATAATACTTTTTAAAGAAATTTTAAGTCTATTATAATTTGGGGGGCTGCAAATATTATATATTAACACATCTAATGAGAAAAAGCTAGATGTATAATGAAATTATAAAATATACCAATGGGTGTAAGCTGATTTTAAAATTTCATTGGTTTCTGGATTCTGCTAGGTAGTATAAAAAATGTATAAAAAACACAGAAAACTTCTTCAAGTGGACAATGAGTAATATAACTGGAGTTTGATGAGCATATATCTTCATATCATCTATCTCTTTATTCTAACTGTACAAAAATTGATAAGGATTTTAAATATGAAATTATCAGAAGAAATAATGGAAGAATATAAAAGAATGGATCTTTACAGTTAAGGTATGTTTTACTCACATAATCTTTCTTGGAAAATCTCACAAAGCCTCATTTCCCATAAAACATAAATCTGTAAAAATTCAAAGTTGAGAAATAGTGCCTGAGCTATTAGATTTAGAGTTTTAACACCAACTCAGAAATTGTGGTTCAAATTAGTATTTATGCTTCTAACTATTAATTTTTGAAAGTTATGCATTTGATATTTGAGGAAGCCATTGAGAAATAGATGGGTGGATAGATAGATAGATATTAAATTAGGAGATTTAATGGAAAATACAGGAAACAAAGAGTATGGATGAAAAAATTGAGTCTTTGAAAAAGACTCCAAGCCAACAAAGATTCAAATCTCCAAATAATATGAAGGGCATCCATATACCCTGAGATAGTGTGGAACATACTCTTTAGAAGTACTGTTATTCCCATAACTGTGCCAAAGATAGATGATATAAATTAATCACAGTATTATTACTTACCAAGCCTTAGTACGGACAAAAAATGAGTAGTCTTCCTATAATTACAGCAATCAGTTTTCCACTCCTGATGGCCATCCACCATCTTTAAAATTTACTATCAATATTTCTCTGCTTTGTTACAGAAAGATATGGCATCCTTGAGTCTGGCGTTTGATGCACTATGTCTTCTTTTCTAAATAGGTAGCCTTACAAGAGAAAGAGTCATGATCTCGAAGGCCTTCAGAGTTCACCGATTGGCAGGCAGCCAGGGGCCCTATCACTACATAGGTTTATACTTTGTACGGCTATAAAGCAGGCCTGAGAAGTTTGCCCTTGGGATTTTAACAGTCAGCCTGTTTACTGTCTACTTTTATGAGTGATTCTTCGTATTTCTGAATATAAGATAACCTCATAAAATATAACTAACCAGTCTGCTCAATTTGTAATGCCTAAATTTCATGCTTTAAAATATTTTTATACCTTAAAAAAATTCTTCATCTGGAAGCATTAGTATCATGAATTTGCATCATTTCTTAACCAGAGTTGCCACAGTATTTGAAGTGTAATCTACCTGCACATTCCTCATCATTGTCTTGTCAGTTCCTGCATTTATGATTGTTCAAAAATACTCATACAACATATTTTTAGGTTGTGGACCTTTGGTGCAGCAGTTAAGATGCCACTTGGGATGCCTACATCTCATATCCTACATCTCAACCTGGTTTGGATCCTGGCTCCACTTCCAATCCAGCCTTCTGTTAACACATACCCTGGAAATGCAGTATATAATTGCTCAAGTAGTTGAATCCTTGTCACCATATAGGCGAAATGGATTGAGTTCTAGACTCCTGGTTTCAGAATTATGCAACCAGGAATGAACCAGTGTATGGAAGAACTCCCTGTGTGTCCCTATTTCTATACACACATAATTATAAAAATATTTTTTTAATTGTGCTTCTCATAGGAGCACTAGTATTGAACCTTTTGTGGCTTCTTGACAATCTCAAGGATGCAGACTAAAAAATATTAAATGTTATTTTGGGGATGCATAAAGTATCACTAATGTATGAAGAGCACCCAATGACAATAACAATTGTTATGTATGCATGAATTTGTGGAGATAATTGTTGACAAAATCCCATTTTTAAAAGATTTGTTTTTTTTTTTTTTTTTGAAAGGCAGAGAGAGAGATTTTTTTAAAGATTTATTTATTTGAAGGCAGAGTTAGAGAGAGGCAGAGGGGGAGGGGAGAGAAAGAGAGAAAGAGAAAGATCTTCCATCCGCTGGTTCACTCCCCCAGTGCTGATCCAAAACTAGGAGCCTGGAGCTTCTTCAAAGTGTCCCCATGGGCACAGGGGCCTAAGGACTTGAGTCATCTTCCACTGCTTTCCCAGGCAATGTTAGAGAGCTGGATCGGAAGTAGAGCAGCCAAGCCTCAAATCCGCGCCCATATAGGATGCAGGCACCACAGACTGAGGCTTCACCCACTTATGCCACAGTGCCAGCCCCAGCAAAAGCCCATTATTAACATTAACTGAGTCATTCTTTATCTTGGAATACTGAGGCTTGCATGTTTCTAATACCAAATGATTAAACTTTTATTACAGATTTCCATGTAGCTAGCTAATAAACTGACTTACTGCTCTATAATGGAGACTAAGTATTGGGAAATAAATTATCCCATGAAATGCCTCTTCTATGTGGTTATGGATCACCTGAATTCCAGCATTCTACAGTCAGGTGACATCTCCTACAGTCTTTCATCTCCTAAGATGTCATAATGACAGGTCACAGCATAGGTTGGGATAACCCACACAATTGGTTGTCATCAGCTATCAGCAGTGCTGTCCCTACGCCTAGGAATCTTGGGTGTTTTTATTTAACTCAGAACTACTATAAGTAGGATTTTTAAAAGATGGCCTGTCTTATATTTCTCTAGGCCAAATAACTCCCATTAGTGGATTGGAACAGATGGTGTGATTTCACTGGTAAATGTTGGTTGGAGAGCATGGCTTTCTCAAATGATCTGTTGTAAAATATTCACTCCACGATCTGACTAAGAGTGGTTTGACAGTAGTGAAAAATGTGAATTTTCTCTAAGAGATGGCAAATCCATATCAAGAGTCTGAACGGCAGGACTTATTAAAGACTGGATCCTGAGTTTGAGCTTGACATCTGGATTCTGGATGAGCTGCAAAAAAAAAAAAAAAAAAAAAAAAAATAGAACAAATTAATCACAATTTAAAAATTTGTCCTTAACTTTGAAATCCCTAAAAAATGACATATGCAAATCTTCAGAAAATCTCAATGTTAAAGTAACTGTAGTACTAGATGTCCAAAGAGTGTAGGTTTTAGTTTTTTAAAAAATCATTGTTCTCATGGAATATGGAATAAGATATTTTATTACAATGTGAATATCTTGTTTGTATAATCTACACTTATAATCTGAGGCATTGCAAATATTTGACTCTTTATATCTTTATTAAAATATTTTAAACACTTTATAAGCAAACATTGAGATATAATGTAATGCATTTCTTTCTTTCTTAGCTCTAATACTAAGGAGATGTTAGAACTTAAACAAATTTAATTGTGTAAATGTTAATTTTAAAAATTTTTGTAAGTTGGGACCGGCGCCGTGACTTACTTGGTTAATCTTCTGCCTGCAGTGCTGGCATCCCATATGGGTGCCAGGTTCTAGTCCCGGTTGCCCCTCTTCCAGTCCAGCTCTCTGTTGTGGCCCAGGAGTGCAGTGGAGGATAGCCCAAGTGCTTGGGCCCTGCACCCATGGGAGACCAGGAGAAGCACCTGGCTCCTGGCTTTGGATCGGCATAGCTTCGGCCTTAGCAGCCATTTGGGGGGTGAACCAAAAGAAGGAAGACCCTTCTCTGTCTCTCCCTCTCACTGTCTATAACTCTACTTGTCAAATAAATTTAAAAAAATTGTAAGCATTGCTGTGTTGATTCTAGGTCTAATCCTTTTCTTTTTCTAGAATAGGAGTCACAATTTTCTTCTAAGCTAATTTTCCTGCAATTTGCTTCTGACACTGGGCAAATGTGATCATTTTATCACTCAGAAAATACAAATATATACTAGCCATTTCTTTTATTAATTTAATTTTGGGGTATATTAACACCTACATAAATTTACTACAATTGTATTTTAAATTTATTTAAAAGGCAGGGGTGAGGAGAGATAGATTCCTACGATGCCAAATGCCCACATGGCAGGTCCTGTGTCAGGCCCAAGCCAGGAGCTGGGAACTCTATCATATGGGTGCCGGGACCCACCTACCTGGGTCATCAATGTTGCCTCTCAGGTTCTAGCAGAAAATTGGAATTGGGAGCAGAGTCAATACCTAGGTCTTCTGATATAGAATGTAAGTGTCTCAAGGAATGCCCTAACCGCAATGGCAAATGCCCACTCCCATAAACTTTTCACTTTCTGAAATGCTACCAAATTTTTCATAAAACCACATGAAAACCTGGTTTACTGAAGAATAATGAAACCATGGTTAACACACCTTATTTTCATTTTTCAACCTCTCTGTTCCATATTTTGAATAATTTTTCTGATCTGTCTTCCCATTTGCCATATTTGTATTGTGGTCAATATACTAACAGACCCCCATATTGAGCTCTAAATATTTATGCTTAATTTATTTTATTTATTTTTCAAATATTCTATATAAATTATTATAGCTCTCCTTTTATTTTCAAGTTTGAACCCTATTTTTTGTTCTTGTTAAGCATATTCTGTTACATTTTCAAATGATTATATTGCCTGAATTGGAGTGATTGTTTTTCTGATACCTAGTTCTTGTTTCTATGTCCATGTACTTGTTGATCACCTTCAACTCTCTATTGATTATTATAACAAAAATTCTTTTTAGGGATAACTTGAAACTTAAGATCGTACTGTCCTTTGGTGATGAACAGTATTTGTTTCTGGTAAAGCATATGTACATTTATTATATGTGTGAGAAATTTTGTCATATTTGTATTCTGGTAGAAATGTTGTAGCGTGTGGAGAAGAGATAGGCAGCATTTTGTTAGATTTTCCTCCCCATAAGAAAATACCTAAAAGAAGCTTTCTGTAAAACTATGACAGATTTATTTAGATCTCCCAAGTGGGAGACCCAGAAGAAGCCCCTAGCTCCTGGCTTCAGATCAGCACAGCTACAGATGTTGCAGCCATATGAAGAGTGAACCAAAGGATGGAAACCTCTGTCTCTCTCTCACTCTGCCTCTCTGTAACTCTGCCTTTCAAATAAATAAATCTTTAAAAGTGTATCTTCCATTGCCGGCGCCGTGGCTCACTAGGCTAATCCTCCGCCTTGCAGCGCCTGCACACTGGGTTCTAGTCCCGGTCGGGGCGCCGGATTCTGTCCCGGTTGCCCCTCTTCCAGGCCAGCTCTCTGCTGTGGCCAGGGGGTGCAGTGGAGGATGGCCCAAGTGCTTGGGCCCTGCACCCCATGGGAGACTAGGATAAGTACCTGGCTCCTGCCATCGGATCAGTGCGGTGTGCCGGCCACAGCACGCTGGCCACTGCGGCCATTGGAGGGTGAACCAATGGCAAAGGAAGACCTTTCTCTATGTCTCTCTCACTGTCCACTCTGCCTGTCAAAAAAAAAAAAGTGTATCTTCCTATTCCAAATTAAAACCACGTTATTAAGTATTCAACAATGATTATTCTAATGTGTAGGTTCTTTAAAGGAGACATACAGATGGAAGCAAAAAAAGAAAAAGTAAAAAGGCTTTCTCCAACTTGTTGAGTAAACAAATATTAACGTGATGTTCCATAGGTATGAGTCATTTACCCATTCGTCCCATAATGTTTGTCCCTAAACATTCCTGTTTATTTTGCACATATCATTTTAACCAATTTTTCCTATAGAATCTGTGGCCTGATTATTAATTGACAATGTTTTGCTCCCTTATCATTTTACTTAAATATTAGTCAAAGATTTATTTATTTATTTGAAACAGTTACACAGAGAGAAGGAGAAGCAGAGAGAGAGAAAGGTCTTCCATCTGCTGGTTCACTCCCCAGTTGGCCACAACGGCCAGAACGGCACCGATTCAAAGTCAGGAGCCAAGGTCTCCCACAGGGGTCAGGGACCAAAGGACTTGGGACATCTACTTCTACTGCTTTCCCAGGACACAGCAGAGAGCTGGATAGTAAGTCAAGCAGCTGAGACTTGAACCAGTGCCCATATGGGATGCTGGCACTGCAGGCGGCGGTTTACCTGCTAGGCGATAGCGCCAACCCTAGGTCGATATTTTTTTTTTAACATAATGTGCTCAGGTTAAAAAAAAAATGACTCTTCAAGCAACACTACCATCTGATGTGGTTCACGTGAAGTATGGTTCTCTTTAATTACATATAAGTAGATAATGGTAAGACTGGGTTTCTATGAATGCTACCATTTTTCTTGTTAAAACATGAAAAATGAAGGTTGTATTTTTCCTAGTATCTGTCCATCATCCCTTTCCATCTGACAATAGCTGAGTAGAAAGGAAACATTATTAGTTTCTGACAATTTGGAGGAGTTCTTTGCTAACCCTGGGCTGCCTTCCTCAGTGTACCACCAAAAAGATCGACTATTACTTACATATTATCAGCTTAATCTCTGCGGTCTAATTATACAAAAAGTTAATTTTGTTTTCCCTTTATTCTGCAGAGATTATGATTTTTCACATTGGTTACAATACTTCTTACATGTACTAGATTCACTCAATAATGTCAGGGCTTAATCAAATGGGGAGCTGTTGCTTTTTGGTGTCTCTGTCCCAACCTCAACATCTCCAACTTGTCACTAGATGAGAGTTAGTGTTTTGTAAAGTGAGATGTCATTGGCATTAATTTTTGTATCCCGGGACATAAACAGTTATGTATTAAGAAATGATTTTACCATGATAGGCAAATGGCAGTGTGTTGAACAAAGAATTTTAAAGTAGTTGGCTCCAAGATTCATAGGAATTTCCGCAGGACAGAATGCCAAGACTCTAAATGCATGCCAATCAAATCACTGGCATTTCAGAAACTACAAGTTTCCATTGTTAATAAATAGCATCAAGCAAATAAAAAGCTATAATTATAAGTTAGGGAGTGAAATAAGTAACAGAACAAATAGTAAAGTAGGTATTTGCATAGATGTGAGTGAATAGCATCTAAGAAATAAAACAGAAAACATGCTTCTACTAAAAGACAAGCACACATGCACACATACATGCACACACATACACATTCCACTATATGTAGAATATTTTTTAAAAAATTTTATTTAAAAGTATACACATTTTGTATATTTCATTTGTACAAATTTAGGAACATAGTAATATATCCCACTCCAACCTCACTCATGCCCAGGCTCCCAATCTTCCTCATCCTTCTGCTCTTAGCATCTTACACAGGTCACAGCAATTCAAACATAAAACTTTTAATATTCATTAATACATGTCCTGTCCCACAGATTGCATATTTTAATTTAATATAGTTAATTCAATTTAATTTCACTAATTCGATTTAATATTTGCATATTTTGATAACTGCATATTTTAATTTTAGATTGTTACTATAGATTTTCTCTTAGCCAATCAATATATTGATTTGCCATCCTATTACTAATTTTAAAATTCAGAAATGAAATGGCTCCATGAAATCCATCCTCTATGTGAGTGTGAGTCACGTGAACACCATTGTTCCTGAGTCGGGTAACATACATGACTCCGTCATCTCTTAAGACGTCATACTGACAGGTCATGACATGGGTCCGGGGTAAGCCACGCATTTGGGTGTCCTCAGCCAGCAGGGGTGCAGCCCTCACATCTAGGAACCCTGGGTATTTTTGGGCCAGTTCAGAACTACCATAGGTTGGAGTGTTATAGACATGTCCTTTCTTAAACTTCTCAGGGAGCAAGGAGCTCCAATTAACATATTTGAACAGGTGACTTGAGTCCACTGGGACGTGCTGATTGAGGAGCAAGGCCTTTTCAAGTGATCTGTCTGTGGTAAAGTATTCACTCCAGTACCTGGCTGCCAGTGATTTGGACAAAATTGGAAACTCTGCATTTTCCCGATATGATGGTAAATCCAGATCCAGATTCTGAAGTGCAGGATATATTAAAGACTGGGTCTTGAGTTTGACCTTGGCATTTGGATCCCCAAGGAGCTGAAAAACAATTTAAAGTTAGTTGCTTGAATAAAAAATTTTCATTTAAAAATATGTTTTCATTAAAACACGATGTATCTGTATGAAGTAACTTAGAATCTTACAAGTAATAGAAAAAAAAACAAAAATATCTCAAAGATTTTCCAATTCTCAATATTGCATGCATTGTTTATATTTTAATGTTGTCCATGTAAGCTTAAGGAATTGTACTACATAGCTCGTGGGTGCAAAAAGATGAGATGTAATCTGATTTAAAAACAAAATCGCTACCTTTGGAAATGAAAAATGGCCACCAGTGGAATTTTGTCTCTTTTTCTATAAGTTAAAAATGCGTAACAATCAAAATAGACTTTAACACAAAAACTGATAAGAGACACTATGTAATGATTAAGGGGTCAATTCAAAAGGGACATATGACTATAAAAAAGGTATATGCACCCAATCACAGGGCACCTGGCTTTTTAAAAGAAATATTAATGTAACTAAGGGGAGACATAGAATCTAATGCAATAATATTCAGGGACTTCAATATCCCACTTTGAGCAATGGACAGATCAACCAGACAGAAAATCAGCAAAGAAACAGCAGTGTTAATCAACACTTTAGACCAAATAGTTCTAACTTATATCTGCTGAACTTTTCACCCCACAGTTGCAGAAAACACATTTTTCTCACTAGTGCATGGAACCTTCTCTAGGATAGGCCACATTCCAGGCCACAAAGCAAGTCTCAGCAAATTCAAAATATTGAAATCACACTATGGCATCATCTCTGACCATAATGGAACAAAGCAGGAAATCAATAAATCAAGATTATTTAGAACATATGCAAACATACAGAGGCTGAACAACATGCTCCTGAATGAACAGTGGGTCATAGAAGAAATCAAAAGAAAAATTAAAAAAATTCTAGACATGAATGAAGAGAACAATAAAACATATCAAAACTCATGGACTACAGCAATTGCAGTGTTAAGAGCATTGTTTATTGCAATTGGTGCCTTCATCCAGAAATTGGAAATGCACCAAATAAGTGAACTTTCAATGCATCTTAAAAGGCCCAGAAAAACAACAACCCCAAACCAAAATTAGTAGGAGAAAAGCTATAATTAAAATTATAGAAGAAATAAACAAAATTGAACCCCCCCCAAAAAAAAACACAAAAAAATCAATGAAATGAAGAATTTTTGTGGTATATGTTGTTAGATTTCCTCTTTCATTTCTGATTTTATTGATTTGGATCTTCTCCTTATTTTGTTTAGTTGGAGCAGTGGTGTATCAGTTTTGTTTATTTTGTTAAAAAACAGCTCTTCATTTCACTGATATTTTGTATTTTCTGTTTCAAAGTTATTTATTTTTTCTCTAATATTAATTATTTCTTTCTTCCTAATTTGGGGTTTTGTTTGTTGTTTTTTTTTTCCCTAAGATATATTGATTGCTTATTTTATTGATACCTTTCCAAATTCTTGCTGTAGTCACCAATTGCTATAAAATTCTCTCATCATTGCTTTTGTTGTATCTCATAAGTTTTGACATTTGTCTTGTCATATTCATTCATTTATAGCAATTTTTCGATTTCTATTTTTATTTATTCTATGACTCATTGTTCATTCAGGAGCATGCTGTACCGTCTCCATGTGTTGCGTATTTCTAGAGATTCCTAAGTTGTTAATTTCCACCTTCATTCCATTGTGTTCAGAAAATATACATTGTATGATTTCAATTTTTGATTTATCTGTGACTTACTTTACGACCTAGTGTATGGTCTATCGTAGAAAATGTTCCATGCATCGATGAAAAGAATATGCATCCTATAATTGTGGGATGAAATGTTTTGCAGATATCAGTTAGGTCTATTTGGTCCATAGTGTAGATTAGTTCTCGTGTTTCTTTTAAAAAATATTTTATTTATTTATTTGAAAGGTAGAGTTACAGAGAAAGAGAGGGAGAGACAGGGAGGGAGTTCTCCCATTTGCTGATTCATTCCTCAAATGGCCTCAACAGTCGAAGCTGAACAGATCTGAAGCTAGGAGCCAGGAGCTTCCTCCTGGTCTCCCACACATGTATAGGGGCCCAAGAACTTGAGTCTTCCTCCACTAATTTCCTAGGCCATATCAGAAAGCTGGATCTGAAGAGGAGTAGTTAAGACATGAACTGGTGCCCATATGGGATGCTGATGTGTCAAAGAGAGGCTTAGCCTACTATGCCACTGTGCTGGCCCCTGTTTCTTTGATGATGAAAGTGTAATGCTGATGCTTTGTATTACTATTGTATTGGAGTCTATGTCTCCTTTAGATATAGTATTATTGTTTTAAATAACCAGATGTCTTGGAATTGGATGCACATTCATTTATTATAGTCAAATCTTCCTGTTGAGTTGATCCCTTAATCATTACATAGTACCTTTCTTTGTCGCTTTTAACAGGCTTTTTTTTGTTAAAGTGCTTTTGTCTAGTATTATGATGGCTACATCTGCTCTTTTCTGCTTTCTTTCTTTTCTTTTCTTTTTCTTTCTTTCTTTTTTTTTTTCAGACAGGCAGAGTTAGACAGTGAGAGAGAGAGAGAGACAGAGAAAGGTCTTCCTTTCATTGGTTCACGCCGATCCAAAGCCAAGAGCTGGGTGCTTCCTCCTGGTCTCCCATGTGGGTGTAGGACCCAAGGACTTGGACCATCCTCCACTGCCTTCCCGGGCCACAGCAGAGAGCTGGACTGGAAGAAGAGCAACCAGGACAGAATCCAGTGCCCCAGTTGGAACTAGAACCTGGGGTGCTGGCACTGCAGGCAGAGGATTAGCCTAGTGAGCCATGGCGCCAGCCTCTTTTCTGCTTTCTGTTAGCATTGAATATCTTTTCTATCCTTTCCTTTCAGTCTGTGTGTATCTTTGTTGGTGAGATGTATTTCTTCTAGGAAGTAAATAGATGGGTCTTGATTTTTAATCCATTCAACCAACCTGTATCTTTTAATTGGAGACTTTCGGCCATTTACATTCAAGGTTTCTTTTCTTTTTTTTTTTTTTTTTTTTGACAGGCAGAGTGGACAGTGAGAGAGAGAGACAGAGAGAAAGGTCTTCCTTTTGCCGTTGGTTCACCCTCCAATGGCCGCCGCGGCCGGCGCGCTGTGGCCGGCGCACCGCGCTGATCCGATGGCAGGAGCCAGGAGCCAGGTGCTTTTCCTGGTCTCCCATGGGGTGCAGGGCCCAAGCACCTGGGCCATCCTCCACTGCACTCCCTGGCCACAGCAGAGGGCTGGCCTGGAAGAGGGGCAACCGGGACAGAATCCGGCGCCCCGACCGGGACTAGAACCCGGTGTGCCGGCTCCGCTAGGCGGAGGATTAGCCTAGTGAGCCGCGGCGCCGGCCTACATTCAAGGTTTCTACTGATAATTAACGACTTGGGCATGCCATTTTTTTAGGGAAGTTTTCTGTAATTATTTAAGTATATGGACCTTCCAATCCATTCTCTCTTTCCCCACCTCAGTACTTCCTAAGAACCATATGTTGAGTCATTTGATAGTATCCTATAAATCTCCAACACTGTTTTCTAATTTCTTTAATTTCTTCTTTTTTTTTTTTTTTGGTCTGGCTGAAATATTTGCAAAGACTTGTCTTCTAGCTCAGATATTCCTTCTTCTGCCTCACCAAGTCTATTGTTAAGGCTTTCCACTGTATTTTTATTTGGCATATTAAATTTTTCACTTCTAATATTTTATATTGATTTCTCTTTAAAATCTCAATTTCATGTGAAAATTTTCTTTCATGTCATGGATGATTTTTTTTACTTTGTAAATCTACTCCTCATTGCTTCTGAGTAATCATATGATTAATCCTTTGAATTTTGTTTCAGACATTTCATCAATTTCTTCATCTTCACATTCTAATATTGAAGTATTGTTGTGTTCCTTTGGACAGGGTTCATGTTTTCTTCTTTCTTCTTGCTTCTTGAATTTCTGCCTTTATTTTTAGGAATTTGTTGAAATAGTTGTTGATTTTTGTCCTCTGACTGCTTTTGTGTTTGAATTATGCTGCTGTGGCTTAGTGGAGTTTCTGCTGTTTCAGTGAATTCCCAGAGGTATGTGCTGTGTGGCCTGGGGAATTTGATTGGTGCTCCAGGGTTACACGAGTATCTAGGGTGACACCCAAATTGAATGTATTAGATTTCTTCCTTTTAGCAGCAACGAGGGTAAGATCACCTCTTTTGGTATGGTCACACCCTCATCTCCTCTCTTCCAAGGTGATCAATGCCCAGGTGTTTGTCCACAGTGGCTACAACACTCATCCAAGCTGCTGTATGAGCTACACAAAAGATCTGCTCAATCCTCAGTATGAGCATGGACCCAATTGTAATGACCCACCCCAAGAAACCAGGAAGCTCTGAGCATGTGGGGCCACTCACATCAATTGCCCAGAGACCAAGCTACACTCTTCACCCTCTCATGCAGTCAAGAGTTCTCACAGTTTAAGCACATAAGGCACCCATATTCATAGAGTACAGAGGATCTTCTCCTCCCTACTAGCTTGTCCTGTCCACAGAGATGTAGAGACATTCCCAGAGCCAGCTGTCTGTGGGTGCTCCACCTAGTTGGTTTGAGTCTAAGAGCTGGAGGCACCTCACAGTCCTACATGAGTGCCCATCCTCCTGTTAATTCTCCCATCCAAACTCAAAGTCAGTGGAGAACGTGAAAGTCTTCCCTCTGGTAGAATCTCTGGATCACATGGGTGCATAAGAGCCTCCTGTTGCAATCCCCACTTGCTTCACAATGTTGTTGCCTTCTCCTCGCCAGTTGCTAAGTGAGTGCTCCTGAGGTACTGCTGCCACCACTACAATGAACAAGATGGTATCCTGCACTAGCCAGTTGTTGGACACATGCAGAAGAATTTCCACAGCTGCTGCTTATGCCCAACATGGTGCACTCTCTCAGCCGGTTGCCTAGTGCCATTGTTGGAGGGAATGGAAAAAGAGAAACATGCCCCCTTTTTCTCCCATCGTGTCAGTGGGTACCCTATCCTCCATTCTTTTCCCATATAATACTTAAAACAATATTGAATTCCCTGATTTTATCTGTTTTGCTTATCTTCTATTCTATATTTTCCATCTTTTTGGCTCTTTATGTTTCATTTTGCTGAATTTTGCATAGTGTCTGAATCAAAAAGGGTCCATATCTCCTATCGTTCTATATATGAATCATATTTTCTGCTGTATAAGAGTACATAAGCCATTCATAAACAGATCAATTTTAATAATTTTATTTTTACTTGTTTTCCAAATCTCAATTCTTCTGCTAGGAATCTGCTACAACTTATTTGTTTTTATATACTCCACAGAATATTATAAAATATTTTACCTAGATTCACACTAGAGATTAATTCACCCCATAGGAAACTGAACTACATAAGAGGGATGGTTTATTATGCACCACAGTGAAAATAAACTTGTTTGAGCAGATAAGGTGACTTTTCCAAGGTCACCCATTAACATTAATCCAGTTTCAGCAATCAAGCTGCCTCTTAGAGCACCAGGCTCCCTATTGTAGTCTCTCCTAGACAATATACATCAATTTATGCAATGTAGTATATATTTGTTTTACAGTATATTAGAAAAAAATCACAGATTTTTTGGTTTTGCTTCAGTTAGGAATCAGAAAAATGTTATTGTAATCATAGAATGGCCAAAAATATACACTTGCAAAATGTTTATTTCTTTACTTAACTGTGAATTTGAGTGCAATTTTTAAAGAGAGTTAGTCATTAAATTACAAAAATTAATTTGCAAGTCTATATTAATTCTATGATTTTTTTCCTCTAGGAACACTACTTCTAAAACATCAATACCAAATTTAATTCTTAGCTGAGAATGCCAGTAACAAAAACAATGTTACCCATAATCTAATAGTTATGTCATAGTTTGAATTGGTAGCTAATAAGTTTAAAGATTTAGCTAAATAATTGTTAAATAAATTTATAGACAATCTCTAAATTATACATTCTTCCACAATAAAAATGTGTGTATCTCTTGTCACATTTTTTCTATGCACCATTTAGTTGTTGGGAGAGTAAGTCTTTACACAAGTTTTAGCATATGACATTGGTGGTAATTGGATGGATGTAGTTCACTAGTTTTGAAGATCTGACATTGAATGATTTCACAAATACATCCCACAATATCACGAAAGAGGATACTGCTTAAAAATAATCACACTTTAATCAATGATCTATTAGAGCATTTTATATTTTTTAAAAAGAAAAGAATAGTGAATGAGGTAGGAATAGGAAATCTAGACAAATACCCTCCAATATGTATCTCTATGCATATCTGCTGTGTAATATAGTGATAATGTGACACAATTACATGACATTGTAATATCTGAAATAAATGTTGACTTTTAAGATACTTTTAAAAATAAAGCAAAACTGAGCATATTACCTGCTGAGTCACGGCTGCAGCTAAATTCCCACCAGCACTGCCGCCAGAAACACCAACTCTCTCAGGATCCACACCATATTTTTCAAGAATATCTTTGCGTAAAAACCAGCTTAATGCACCATAGACATCCTCAAATTGAATGGGAAAATGGTATTTAGGAGCTAGTCTGTAGCTGTGGGCAGAAGAATAATTTCAAACCAAATTTTCTTAATTTAAAAGCATTTGTGTGTTTGTTCTAACTCTTAAATCAAGAGAAAATAATTCTCCATTAAGTTTCATGCTTTGATAGTTATAAAGTGATAGCAGACAGACATCATCATTATAATGATGCAAAAAATAGACGCTTTCACAATTTTTATTCTGATAAAAAATATTGTTTATAGCCTTAATCTATACTCTTGAAGAACAGTGTTTTTCTTTCTACTTTCTATTTGTTGAATTCTTTATTTACTGGAGAATTGAAACTATGTTATTGCAAAAATTAAAAGGAAAAAAACAGAGAATAAAGGCAAGAAGGAGGGCAGGGAGTATCATTATGGGCTTTAAATTGTATGTATGCAATACATTAAATTGTTTTCTTTATATAAATAAAAAAGGCAAAAAATAGAAAGTAAGAAACAATGTAACACGTTCACAAATTACCTGCATGTACATACACACAAACTTAGATTAGGATTAAGCTAAAAAAATAGGAATATGCAATAAATTCCCCTGCTAATCTTTTTCCAGAAAGCTGCTTTGTAATCATTATATTTTACTGAGAAGCAAAAAATTGGAAAAGGGTATTTTTGTAAAAGATTTATCAACTTATTTGAGAGGCAGAGTTACAGACAGTGAGAGGGAGAGCAAAGAGAAAGGTCTTCTATCCGCTGGTCCATTCCACAAACAGCTACAATGGCTGGAGTTTGGCAGATCTGAAGCCAAGAGCCAGAAGCTTCCCCTGGGTCTCCCAAGTGAATGCAGGGGTCCAAAGCACTTAGGCCATCCTCCACTGCTTTTCCAGGCCATGTCGAGAACTGTATTGGAAGGAGAGCAGCCAGGACAGGAATTGGGACCCACAGGGATTGCCTGTGCCAGGAGGACACCTGACTCAGTAAACCACAGCACTAGCTCTGGGAAAAAGATCTTAGAAATTATTCTACTCTATGTTCACTTAATGATCAATTTGGCACATGCTTTCTACTACATTTGGCATAATTTCTTTATTTCTTCCTATAGCTTTGTTTTATATTATTAATCTAGAAGGCCTTTTGAGAATAGATTTGCCTGTTCTAACTTGCAATTAGATGACAAGCTCCTTTTTTGTTTTGAAGATTTACTTACTTATTTGAAAAGGACTCTTACAGAGAGAGAAAGCAAGAAAAAGAGATCTTCATCCACAGGTTTACTCCACCAATATCTGCAACAGCTGGAGCTGGGTCAGGCAAAAGCCAGGACTCCAGAGCTTCTTCTGGGTCTCCCTTAGGAGTGTAAGGGCCGAACACTTGGGCCATTTTCCACAGCCTTCCCAGGGGCACTAGCAGGGGCACTATAGAAGTAGGGCAGCCAGATCTTGAACCAGCATCTATATGGGTTCCCAGCATCTTAGGAGGAGGCTTAACATGCTATGTCACAACACTGGCCCCTACCGTTATATATGGAACTCACTGCTTTAATGGAATTGTATCTTTCTACTCCTCAAAACAATTCAATTATATGAATCATAATAGAACTTGAACTAACGAGATAATACTCAATGTGCACAAGGCCACACAGAGGAATGTTAACTAAGATTTGAACATTATTTTCTACTTCTGAAGCCTTTATTCATAATTACTCTGCTAAGGAAGCTAGCCAAGGAAACCAGCAGAGGTAATTAAATTAAAAGATGTAACACTTTAATTTATGTAAAAAAGAGAAATGATCAGAAAAGCTGATAATGCCTTACTAAATAAGGCACTTGCCCAAATACCAAAGCAATTGACCAGTGCTCTTACTTGGTTGAAATGACAACAGCATCAAGTCTATTGGCTGTGTGTCTTGAGAGAAAGTCGTGAGAAAACACGGCTGCAAGAAAAGAAAACAAATTCAGAGACATTCAAATGAGTTAATATGTATTTTTCGTGAACAGAAGGTTTACTGGAATACTTTGTTCCTAACGGATGTATTCTGTAACATATTTGCAATATTTCTTCATCACTATATAACATAAATTCTGCTCAGTGATGAGCGGTCAGTTTTCTTGTCTTCCCACATCTTCCTACTTGATAATTGTGAATACTCAAGAATAATCTCAACTTTTTTACTTTAGCAGATGTTAGATGTTGAGATTGCAAACACATAACATCTGAGTTTAAGGAAGCCACAGTCTACTGGAAGTAGTGGTGGGAGTGGCAGGTTATATAAACTAATAGCAATAATGTAAAATAATCTGTGCTTTAATGGAAGAGTAAAGATAGTGCTGATAGAAAATTATATTACATTTTAGCAATTCAGAAAGAGAGAGGAAGGGAGGGAGGGAGGGAGCAGGGAGATAGAGAATGAAAGAAGCGGTAGAGGTAAATGAGATCTGATTTATGTATATGCATGTTTCTAGGCAGGAGTGAATTTTGGTGTTTACTAGTTTTTGCTTGTTTTTGGCATGAGTACAGGTTGTATATAGAGCATACTTATTTGTCACTGTAGTGAGCAAGGCTCTTTTTCCAAATAAGATAATGAAAAGAAAAGAAAAATAGATGTAGCAGAAATAAGAGGTAGATACGTCTATAATGTTAAAGGAAAAGTATTAGGATGTGAGATTGTCACAGAACCATTCTCGGGGAAACATGGAAAGAATAGTAAACACTGGGGACACCATCTTGCTGGAGAAAAAGTTCCATGTATAAAATATTGGAACCAAGGCCACTGACTGAAGGTACACTTCAGTAAAGAGGTGACAGAACTGCAAACAGTGACTCTGAAACCCAGCAGAGATAGAGAGGAACAAAGCCTGTCAGTGCTGCAGTCCACAGCTCCTACCTTGGTTCCCCACCTGGTCACCACCTTGCCAGGAAAAGTGTTTGATTTATAATCTGTTAGAAGCGAGAAGACTGAGGGGATATTCCTGTAAGGAAGTGGGCAAATCTGTGAACAGTGCAATGACTCTGGAGGCCAGTAGAGAGAGTGAAAAAAGTTGTAGCATATCTCAGGTAAGAAGAGAAAGTGCTTCATAGCTTAGAAATTTATTATTAGTAGGTACATTTGATGGAATGTAGCAGTGAAAACCAATATGCACTAGGTCTTAAACTTTATCATTATAAAACTAACACCTATATTTTGGATTCTAACTCATTGCATTTTTGCATTTATATTGGAAGAGCATCAAGTAAATACTCTTACGTATCAGGGCTTGTCATTCCTTTTTCCTTTACCTCCCTAAACATATGCCCATTTTTTGAGAATATCTTAATGCAAAAATTTTTAAACAAATGCTCGAGCAGTGGAGGTCCATGGACATAAGCTGTGGTTTGCTGTGGTCATATATTGTGTTAGAAATATCACTTTAGTATCAGCTGAAGCCTCTACAGATGAAGTTTATAGACAATGACAAAATCACGTTACTTAATGCTCCAACTCTAATTCCTGATATATATCAATGCCCATCAGCAATACTTCTTTTGCTCCTGTCACAGAAAATAGCTCCCCTCCCTCATCCTCCAATTCCTTTCCCTATCCACAGAGTCAGATAAAACCCAATCCCCTTGCCTGCTGCCAGTGTAAAGTTTTTCTAACATTTGTCAATTTCAAAAAAAAAACACAATAATAACCTCAATAAAGTTAAAGTTGTTCATAGAATTCCCACATATTAGTACATTTATAATATGAAACATAAAATATGATACATATAAATATAATGAAATAAATTATAAATAATATTAAAATGCAGTAAATATATGCTTATATACAAATATCATGTGCATTAAATATAATAAATTGCATAACAAATAGCACAAAATATTGTTACTCAACCCTGTGCTTCTCTAAGACCTTATTCCTCAATTCCTGCATATCTAAGCTCACTGAAAAACTAGTCTCATCGTCTCCACTTATTTTATTCAGTTTGACTCATTTCATTTTGATTTTCACTGCTACATTCCATGAAAAGTAGTTAATAACAAATTTCTAAGCTCATGAAACACTTTCTCTTCTTACCTGAGATTTGATACAACTTTTTGTATTTGTTACAGATATGGAATATTTTTCTCAAATTAATGTAAGCCCAAAGGAAAAACTGTCAGAGAGCTGAAGGATGTTGTTACTGTTCAACCAAGGATCACATACCAGCACTCCCCAAACACCAGCCGCCACCGTGAATGTAAAACAAGCCCCTTCTCAGCGTCTCAGACTTTCTTCTAGGCACATACACGCGAACAGGAATGCCGTTGAATGTTGTCTCTGTCACAGTGACATTTTCATCAGATGTGGGTGGGACTTCCATAAGGAAAACGAAAAACATTGCAATGTTCATAAAATGGTTGATTCCTAAGAATTCAGCAAACAGAAACTACAAAAAGAGAAAGGGGAAAATAGGTTAGAGATAACAGGTGCCCCTGCTGTTTGTGAACATAGACGTATGCATATGTGCTCCTCATGGTCTTCTCATATTCTGACAGAAATAATAAAGAATAAAACAGAATAAAACAGAAATACTTGGTTTTTGCTGCCTTACCATAATAGCTGTCACAGGTTAAAAAACATATTTAAATAATTTAAATTGTAACTTGACAGAGTGCACACTATATAGTTTGATTAAAAAATAAATAAGTATAAGAGAGGGAGGAGTGTATAATTTGGGACATGCTCAATTGGACTTGCCCCAATTGGTGGAGTTAGAAATGTGCCAGGGGATTCCAACACAATACCATCAAGATTGCATGTACCAATGCCATCTCACTAGTCTAAGTGATCAATTTCAGTTCACAATTGATCACACTGATAGGTCTAAGAGTCAAAGGGATCACACAAACAAGACTAGTGTCTGCTAGTACTAACTGATAGAATAAAAAAGGGAGAGAACGATCCAACATGGCAAGTGGGATACACAGTAGACTGATAGAATTGCAGGTGTCCTAAACAGCACTCTGGCCTCAGAATCAGCCCTTAAGGCATTCAAATCTGGCTGAAGAGCCCATGAGAGTATTTTAGGCATGGAAAGCCAAGACACTCTGCGGAAAAAAAAAGAAAAACCTAAATGAGAGATCACTGCGAATGAGATCCCAGTAGAAAGAACAGGCCATCAAAGAAGGAGGTACCTTTCTCTGAAGGGAGGAGAGAACTTCCACTTTGACTATGACCCTGTCGGAATAAGATCGAAGTTGGCAAACTCAAAAGGCTTTCATAGCCTTGGCAACTCATGACTAGAGCCTAGGGAGATACTGATGCCATAAACAAGAGTGTCAAATTGTGAAGTCAACAACAGGAGTCACTGTGTACTTACTCCTCATGTGGAATCTCTGTTCTTAATGTGTTGTCCAATGTGAATTCATGCTATAACTAGTACTCAAACAGTATTTTACACTTTATTTCTGTGTGGGTGCAAACTGATGAAATCTTTACTTAATATATACTAAATCGATCTTCTGTATATAAAGATAATTGAAAATTAAAAAATAAATAAATAAATAAAAAGAAAAGTCCTCTACTATAAAGAAACTCAGAGACAAGAAGAAGAAACGGGTACACGAACACTTAAAAGAAGAATAACTTCGTATTTCATAGGTATGCACAAGGAACTTTGGCCAGTTTCACTGTGGAGATAAACTAGCTTCCTGGGGAGCAACTTTGAAATAGGAGTTGAACTTTGATATCAGTATTGAAACTGGAGTAAAGAATGTATAAGCAAAGATTTTTCATTAAAGGGAAAGCCATAGGCATATCCATAGCTTCTAGTTAAAACAGAGAGATGCCTGCAAATTGTCTGGCACAGTTCTAAAGTCAGCTCCACACAAGGAGGCATGAAGGAAAAGTCACTTCCAGGAGTGCATCTGAAAACAGTATTGGAGGCAGAGACACAGTCAACAAAACAATCACATATTTACATTTCAGCTATGATGAAGTGCAATTTTATTTACTGTTCTATTGTTCAATTTGAAAGTTTCCTATTTTATTTTGTTTCCTTAATGAATTCTCAGTTACTCTTACTTCAGTTGTACTTCATGTTGTCTGACTGATCTGAAGAATAAGATCCACTGAAATTAAGTGTTCCAAACCTGAGTGATATTTGGCTATACTTGGGTCGACAAATTCACTCACAAGAGTTCCCTTTAAGAGTACTGGGGACTCAATCCTGGCTTGCCTGGGAGCACTCAGAGGGGAGCCACCAGAAATAAAACCTTTGCATGGACACTTTGGGTCAATCTCAGAGGATTCCCTGGAGTGTTAATTTCTTCTGGAAGATAGCAGGTCTTTTGTGCAGATGACGATGTTACCAGTTACCATGGGCTGATGGTCCACTACTGCAGAGCCCAGCACTGGAAGCTGTGATAAACTTACACGTAATGTAGTTCCCAATCTTCACTGACTCTATGACTAAGTTCTCCCCTACTCACAAACTAGCTCAAGTACAAAGCAGAATAATGAGGACCTTTAATAGGATGCTCAGGCAGGAAGAGTCCTGAGCACCCATTCTGACTGACCAGTGTAGAGATACTTGGTGATGGATGCTCTGTTTGATCTTAACCTGTCGGCTCTGAAAAGCTGTGAATGTTTAAAATATTTAGATTCTGTAAGGAAGACCATAGCAATCTCAAATTCTGTATCAAGGGAAGGAATTTTACATATAACCTGCAAGGTAAGTAACAAGTTTGAGCATATAGATGAAATCATCCTGGAAAGCTGAGTTCAGGCTATAAAGTCAGTAAATGTTTTCAGATGACAGTAGTTCAGTCCTCCTCTGTAAGATATTAGCAAGGAAATCAATGTATTCCCTCTAGCAAGCAGCAAACAAAACATATAATTAAATTTAATCTAAATGGCAAGCATTCAAGTACTTTGGTTGTCTTCTTGTGCCTCCAGATGTGTTATCAGAAGGCTGGATCAAAAGGTGAGTAGCTGAGACTTGACCAGCATTCCTACATGGGACATGGATGTCTCAAACAGTGGCCTAACAAACCATGCTACAAGACCCACCCATCCAAAAGTAGTTTTTGGTGTTAGTTTGAAAAATCAAATTAAAAAAAGAAAATTTATGACCAACTTGAATTTATATACCTCAATTTGCATGCAAATTTGATTCTTCATAAACTTAAGTAGTCACACAAGAATCACTCCAAGACAAAAATGAGATAATTGAATGCCTGGTGATAAAGAGTTGAGAAACATTAATGACACTCATTTTCAAGATTTGCATATTAATTGTGGTTATTCAGCAATTGGAGACATGAATAATCATTCGGATTCAGGATTCTCACACACTGGCGCCAACCAGTGCATCTCTGAGAACCCAGAGCCCCAGGAAAAGCTGAGCAGGGCTGGGTGAATCAATGACAAAGACGAAAAGCAGATGAGAATAAAACATCTTTTTTTTTTTTATTATTATTTTATTTTATTTTATTTTTTTTTTGACAGGCAGAGTGGACAGTGAGAGAGAGAGACAGAGAGAAAGGTCTTCCTTTGCCGTTGGTTCACCCTCCAATGGCCGCCGCGGCCGGCGCGCTGCGGCCGGCGCACCGCGCTGATCCGATGGCAGGAGCCAGGAGCCAGGTGCCTTTCCTGGTCTCCCATGGGGTGCAGGGCCCAAGCACCTGGGCCATCCTCCACTGCACTCCCTGGCCACAGCAGAGGGCTGGCCTGGAAGAGGGGCAACCGGGACAGAATCCGGCGCCCCGACCGGGACTAGAACCCGGTGTGCCGGCGCCGCTAGGCGGAGGATTAGCCTAGTGAGCCGCGGCGCCGGCCAAAACATCTTTTTTGAAAATGACCTAAAACTTACAATCTTCAAACTCCTCAAGGAACTAAAGAAAACTGTACAATCAGAAAAATGAGTCGTACGCTATTTTCAGAATAATTTTAAGAATCCCTCATCTGGGATAGATCTGTTAGTGCTGAGCGCCATATTTCTCATCCAGCCCAAATGCAACCTCACAGTGCCTTCAAGATATGTATTTTTTGACAAGCATATTTAAACAGTGAGAGAGAGAGAGAGAGAGAGAGAGAGGTCTTCCTTCCATTTGTTCACCCCCCAAATGGCCACTACAGCCAGCACTTGGGCCATCCTCCACTGCCTTCCCAGGCCACAGCAGAGAGCTGGACTGGAAGAGGAGCAACAGGGACAGAATCCAGCACCCCAACTGGACTAGAACCAGGGTGCCGGCACCGCAGTTGGAAGATTAGCCAAGTGAGCTGCGGTGCCAGCCTTCAAGATCTATTTCTAAGTAATCTATTGGAACTCATCTCTTAAAGATATTTGCCATTCCTGTTCTAGGACACAATGTTACATCACAAGCTAGTTCAGAGTTTTTTCCATCAATGACTCATTAATCATCACTGAATTACTAACATTTGGAGTTTCCACCATTCCTTACCATTGCTCTAATTGATTGGTATAGCCCTTTAAAGGATCAGCAGGCAATACAGTCAAGCAAGTTGTTAGATTTATGTTGAGAGAGGGAGGGTAGGGAGACAAACTGAAAGAATAACTTCTTCAAGATTAATATTATATGATAATCAAATATACGTGATCAATAAATTTGATTTTTAACAAAAACGATAGTGAGGACTTTAAGTCCCCATAAATCTGCACTTTTCCTTTGCAGGAAAATACACAAAACAAGAGAGTACATAATACATCAGTAATCACAATGATGAATTATTTCTTCAAAGCAACTGAGAACCACAGAAACTCATGTGCTATAATGTACAAAAGCAACTGAAATCAGCAGACCTGTGTGGAGATCCACTGCGGGAAGACCATGTGCAAACTAAAATGGAGAGAAGAGGGCTCTAAAGGTGCCATATACAAGTAAAGATAGGAAGCATTTCTCCAAAAATGAAAGAACCAAATAGAATTTCAGTACTGTGACATGTAGCAAAATGCATTCAAACTACCAAGGAGGTCCCCTTGGTAAGCCAACATCATCAGTGGAAGACAACAGCAGGAAAGAGTGGCAAGAGTGGCAGCATCCTTTATCAACAATGCCAGTAAAGGTTTGGCAGAGGCCGAAAAAATAGTTCAGAAGGTAGATATTTGAAGATGATTGCTAGTTAAAAGAAGGAGTGATGACTAAAATTTGGTATGAATACTAACATTAGTAGAACTCAAGGAATAAAAACAGACAAAATAATTTCCTAAGTAAATTCAAATAATATCAAAGCAATATAGAACACAGAAATGAGAAAATTAGAGAAAGAAAAAAGTAGAAAGAGATTTAAAAGAATGACATCACATTAGAAAAATATAGTGAAGACTCTGACTATATATGTGTGCATGTATATATATATAATATGTCAGATACAACAAAATGACAAAAAAATGCTGTTTTATATATAACTCAAAAATAACTTTAAAAAGAAACTTTAAGCCATAGTCCCATGAAATTGACCGATATGTTACAAGAGTTATACTAATAAATTTAATAAATATGATCAAATAACTGAGAATAAATTATAATAAAGCACCTATAAAACTTTTTCAGAGCCACACTAAAAGGCAAAAAGGAGTGTTGAAATTCCATCGGATCAGCGCAGTGCGCCGGCTGCAGCAGCCATTGGAGGGTGAACCAACGGCAAAGGAAGACCTTTCTCTCTGTCTCTCTCTCTCTCACTGTCCACTCAGCCTGTCAAAAAAAAAAAAAAAAAAAAAAAAAAGAAAAAAGAAAAAAAAGAAATTCCTAGAAAAAACATGCAAGGGATTAAAAATAATTTAGTTTTCTTTCCCAAGCTAAGTGATATTGAAAAACCTTTTTTAGTAACAGGGAAGCTATAACTATAGATTGTAGAGGAGGTTAAAGGGACTACGCATGGTTTCATTTAAAAGCAGTTGGCCTCATTAGAAGAGACCCAGGGGGATAGCTGTGAGCTCGGGTGGCATTCAGTCAGACAGCTGCCCTGTTACCTCCATAGCTCACCTTCACCACTGGAAATCACCATGTTATCCATTTTCCTGTGGCTTTTTGCCACATGACCTTTTTTACTAAATATTTCAGTAAGACTGCATTTTCATGTCTGAATCCAGCGTTATTGCAATGTTTCTGTGACTACTCACAGTGCTACTCATCCTACCTTCTGATGTCCACACTTCCAACAAGCCCCTTTGTGGAAGCATGCCCCAGAATTCACACCATCAGACCCACACCAAGATTTGTTTGTTTTTATTCCATCAGACTCATAATTGGATTTAAAAATTTTTTCTCACCCAGAGTGTATTAGTTTTTTAATATTTAAAATCAAACCCACCAGAATATGCGCTCTATATTCATTCAATTAAGTTTCTGCATTAAAGAAGTTAAGAATATTAAGTGTTTTTATATAAGCTAATGGGTTGGTTATATAGCATAGCAGTAAAAACTCCCATTGGAAAGCTCCTATCCAACATTGGATTGCCTGGATCTGAGTCCCGACTGCTCTTCCAGTTCCTGCTTCCTGCTAATGCACACCCTGGTGGACAACAAGTGATGGATCAAGGAGCTGGGTCCCTGCCACTCATGTAGGAAACCTGCATTGAGTTCCCAGCTCCTGGTTTCAGCCTGGTCCAGCACTGAATGTTGTGGGCAGCAAACTAGCAAATGTCTCTCTGCATCTAAGCCTTTCAAACAAATAGAACAAATGAAAAATCTAAAAACTAAATCAATGAAATAAATTTGCCAAGCAAATTTTAACAGCAAAATTTTCAAGAGTAGAAATTAAAGCTAGACAAAGCTAGACAAAGCTAGACTAATTATTTCCTATTAAATGGCCATTGAATGAGTAGAGAAAATCTGAACTCACCAAATTTGTTATTGTATTGGATACTGTAATCACACCCATCAGTCTCCATGGTTCCTCAATATTATCAGGGAGAGGAGTATAAACATAATAGGCTCCCAAAATCCCCGCAGTCAGAAGCAAAATGGTCTTTTTTCTCATGGTGGTTCTCTTTGGGTCTTTCTACTTCAGCAATGCTACAAATGCACTTCTGAATATGTTGACTTGTGATTGTATGTCTTAAGCTTCCACATACACTGTTGTATAATTTCCTGAATACAAATTCCACAGTTCAGTTTGTCATTTCCTAGGCAGTCCGGAAATTCTTAGTGAAGTCCAAAGAGCACTGTGAAACAAATAGAAGTTATCTGCAAGTTTATGACCCTTGAAATAAAGGTTCTGTGAACATTTGCCAACAAAAGCCTAAGGAGAGAAATAATTTCACCTTAGAAGGCATATATTGTAGACTGTGGATATAAATGAGTGCTTAGATGGGCACAGCCTCCCACAGAGCATGCACCTGTTTCTGCTGAAGAGGTCCCAGACCCACTACCATCAGGGCCCTCAGGTGCTCTGTGGTCTACATGTGATGTTGAACATGGTCATACACCTGGGACTCTGCCCACAGTAGAGGATGTTACAGGGCATTTTCATTGCTGTAAATGATTCTGGTATTCCTCTCTTTTCATCACTCTCTCTCTCTCTTTTAAAAATTTATTTATTTACTTGAAAGTCAGAGTTACACAGAGAGAGAAGGAGAGGCAAAGAGAGAGAGAGAGAGACAGAGAAAGAGACACACACAGAGAGAGAGAGAGATCTTCCATATGCTGGTTCACTCCCCAGATGGCTGAAATGGCTGGAGCCGTGCCAATCCAAAGCCAAGATCCAGGAGCTTCCTCTGGGTCTCCCATGCAGGTGCAGGGACCCAAGGATTTGCGCCATCTTCTACAGTTTTCCCAGGCCATAGTAGAGAGCTGGATTGGAAGTGGAGCAGCTGGGACACGAACTGGTGCCCATATGGGATGCCAGCATTGCAGGTGGCGGCCTACTGGCTACACCACAGTGCGGGCCTCTCTCCATCTCTCTCTTGTCCCAAACACCTAGTACCCACTGATTTTTCCACTATCTCCATGGTTTTTTTCAGAGTTGGAATCAAACAGTGGGTGGCCCTTCAGACTGATTCTTAATTCAGCAACCTGTAGATAAGGGTTCCCTGTGTCTTTGCCTAGCTGACACCTCGTCTTTCTATTATGGAATGAAATGTCATTGTCTGCAGGGACCACAGTTTGTTTATCCAGTTGTTTGTAGAAGAACACCTTGGTCCTTCCATGTCTGGACAAGTGTGAGTAAAACAGCCAGGAAGATCTGTGTGCATATTTGGTTTGGGGACTGAATGGGAATTATTGGAAGAATGCAAAGTGGTCTTCCAGAGGGCTGTACAGTTCTGTACACCCAGCAGAGGCCAAATGGTTCTGTATTCTCTGCAGAGGGACCACATCTTTCTGCATCCCCAGAACCAGTGAGTGGGACTCCTGCTGCCCACATCCTCACCACACTTGATCTTTCCAGGGTTTTAGATTCTGGCCATGCTACCAGGGGTGTAGGGTTTCCCATTGTTTTTACGGATAATTACCTGATAGCATATGGTGTTTACCCAGATGGTTTCTCAAATTGGCACCAGGAGCTGGGAGTGAGGCTGGCTGAGATATTCAGCCTGTGAGACCACCTTGGAAGCCCCATTGGTCCTAGCAACTCTTGGTGGAGAGGCCCTCTTCAGTGCTCCAAGTCCACCCACAGGGCTGGGTGAGGTCTTCAAACCATTGGTCTCAGTGACTGTGTCCTCAGTACCACTGTCCCCCCATCTGCTGCCTAATGTCAGCCAATGAGGTGTTCACCCCCTCCCCACAAAAGCTTCCTGGGACTTGGGGACCTGGGACACAACATGAGCCCTAGCAGTGAGCTGTACCCTCTGTACTGGTGAGTTTTGATGGCTACATAGAACAGAAACAACCCCCCTCCTGCCGTAGGTGATTACCCTGTGCCTAAAAACACAATCTCCCTCACCAACAGATGAGCACCCCCACCTCCTCAGGGAGCCAGAACCATTCTGCTGCCCTGCCCAGAAACTCAGCAGAAAGCCTTTTCCCATTGTCTCCTCTTTCCCCTCATTGCACATCCTGTCTTGGTGTCTCCTGGAGCTATACACGAGCACATCTCTTATCCTTCTCTGTCCCTACCTAAGGATGTCTCAAGGCTGAAATCGGGTCCCTTGATGGCTTCACCAACACCCCTGAGGAGTGCTGTGTCCTTCTGTGCTGCTACAACACAAAATTGATGGCAACATTGAGAAAGAGCAGAAATCCATGCGTTCAGAACCGAGGATGTCCTCAAGGACTTGCGGAGGCTCCTGCAGGCCCTTTTCTCCAGGATGCAAGTCCAGTCAAGGCTCCTCCTGACGCCACCATGTTGGGGTCCGAGTTTCTATCCATTCACTTTGGGAGAAACATTCATACCAAAGGAGGGTGGCCCTGGCTGCCCATGCTAGCTTCTGGTGGCTCCTGCAGTCTGTCCTTGGAGCCCACATAGTTCTCTGTGTGTCCGACCTTCCTTCTCACCCTCAAAAGAGCTGTTGTCATTGGGTTTAGTTAGGGTCCATACATCTCAAGGTCTGTAACCTAGTTAAGCCATCAAAAATATTTTTCTCAAATAAGGACAAGCCACATGTTCCAGTCACAAAATCTGGCTTCCCTTTTTTGAGGGTCCCATTTTGCCCACTCTTCCGTCTTTGCTACAGTAACTGTTCTCTCTTGTGACATCTGCTACCTGCTGCTTCCATTTCTGCTGTTCAGAATCCAACGAGCCCAACTTGATGTGTATTTAAAGCTCTACATCAAACCACTCTCCCAGATAAGGCTCCAAGGCCTACTGTGTGCAGAGCCTTTCCTTGCTGCCCAGGTACATCTTCACACAGGCACTGCCTCTGAACTCTGTGCTCACCACCCTGCCCACCAACCCACCTGCTACCACAGATTACCAGCTTCTGTTTGATTCTGCATGTTTTCCTCAACTTGCAGGTGTCTGATCTACCATCCAACTACTCATTCCCTTCCTCACCCACCGATTTGTGAAGTCAGAGTATACCATTCCTCTCTGATTAAATCCTTCAACCTATTTTAACAAAATTTGAAAATGAGTTTCTGTGTTTACCATCTCTGGCCTCAACCATCCTCCATGCTGCTCTTATCACACTACTTGCCAGAACAAATAGAGTTTTTTTTTTTAAACTAAAATCTCCACAAAGTGGCTGAAAACAAGGAGGAGGTGGTGGAATAGGGTGAGAATCAAAGTATCTTGTTTACTATTCAAAATGGTTTGCTGTGATTTCTGTGGTTGTAAAATCAGATCCTTGATGGAGGAAGTGTTCAGCTTCTTGGCTCCTTCAGGTGAAAAACCACTGGCCTGGGAGGGCAGTAATCCACTTGTGTTAGAAACCTGAGGTTTGCTGCTATTGCACACCCAGAGTTGTTCACCTACTCCAGCTTCTGTGCAAACCCTTGTCTTCTCCCTGCTTCCCTTCTGCTTTCCTCTTGGTTGACGTGACCTCTGCTTTGCTTTACTTTTCAAGTTGGACCTAAGTGCATGTCTTCTTGTACTTCCATGCCCAGTGTGTGATGGAATTACTTCTGGCTCCTAATGTCCCTTCTTGGAGGCTTGGCACCAATTTGTCAATGACACCCCGCATGTTTCTGGCATGACTGATGAACTGGGCTCTGGTGGATTGCAATCCTGCATGTGCGGTGTGGGTTGTTCTCCAGGTCTTTGTCAAGGAGCTTCTACAGGACACATACAGAAACCTGGTTCCCATGGTAACGTCCATGAGGTACCTGCTGCACAGGTGGAAAGTGATGTGGGTGATTATGTCCCAGACTTACTCTTCCTGCTCAACATCTTTGACTTCTCCTGGAGACACTGCTTCCTTCCTCCTGCCAGTGGGTGGAGCCTGGTTCACATCTGCAACTTCCTCCTGGCCCTGTGCTGTTTCCATCTTCTGTGAACTAAAGCCTAGAGTGAAGCTCCTTTGTAGGGACCAGCTGGGTGTATGCAGCGCTGCACAGATTTGGATGTGGCGCCATTCCTCCAGATCCCCAAAAGAGAATGGGGAAAAAAAAAAAATCTAGAGTTTTAGCCTTATGATGATTTACACTAAATATCTGAAAAACAGTTCTAGATTGTCCTTCCCAATACGTAAGTTTTTTGTATTTTTCTCATCATTTTGGCATTTACTATGTTCGCAACTATAATGTTGCATGAAGGTGTTGAGGGCAGGCATATTTGTTTTCCCAAATTATTGGAAAACAATAAATTATTCACAATTACAAATAATATTAATCCAATAACTTGACAGACATTGTTTACTAAGTAAAGATATTTTGACAATTTTTTAAAAGAAAGTGAACACTTGCCATGCTCTGAGGGTCACTGTTCAGGGCTTCCCTGCTCCAAGCATCCAGTGCCTCATCAACCTACCGTGCTGGGGTCTCTAACAAATCCAGGAGTGGCTTGTGATACCACTCAGCAGGAAGGAAGTGATAGACCTTGGTGGTGTTCACATGGCACTAATTCTGCCAGTATGAGGGACGCACAGATTATGGGGTTATGAGAGTGTACCTCAAGATTTCAAAGGAAAGCATATGAACTGGAAATCTTGATGTAATCCCATTTTTTGTATTTTTGCCTTAATGCCTGTGCTTCTGGGATCCTACCCAATAAATCTTTCCGTGGACAATATATCTTGCAGTGTTTCCTTTATGTTTTCCTGTATCAATGTTTTCAGATCTTACATTTAGATCCCTCATCTATTGTGAATTCAGTTTTGTACAGGGTATAAGAAAGGGGTCCTGTTTCATACCTCTGCATGCAGAGATCCAAGTTTTACAACACTATTTGTTGAAGAAATGGTCCTTTCTCTGGAGAGTGGTTTTAGTTCGTTTGACAAACATTAGTGGATTATAGATGTGTGGTTTAATGTCTGGGGTCCTTAGTCTTTTCCATTGCTTGACATATCTATTCTTGTGCCAGTATCAAGGAGTTTTGATTATAAGTGCTTGTAATACATTTGAAATCAGATATTGTGGGGCTGGTGCTGTGACATAGTAGGTTAAGCCTCTGCCTGCAATGCTGGTATCCCATATGGGTGCTGGTTCAAGTTCCAGCTGCTCCACTTCCAATCCAGCTCCCTGCTAATGACCTGGGAAAGCAATGGAAGGTGGCCTTAGTGCTTGGGATCCTGGACCCTGTGAGAGGTCCGCAAGAAGCTCATGGCTCCTGGCTTTGGATCAGCCCAACTCTGGCCTTAGTGGCCATTTGGGGAGTGAACTAGCTCTCTCTGTCTATAATTTTTTTCTGTTAAATAAATAAATAAATAGAAATCAGGTATTGTGATATATCCAGCTTTATTTTTAATATTTAGGTTTGCTTTAGCTATTCGGGATCTCTTATGATTCTATATGAATTTTAGGGTCTTTTTTTCTAGATCTGAGGAGAACATTTTTGATATTTTGATTCAAGATTGCATTGAATCTATAAATTGCTTTGAGTATCATGGACATATTGATGATACTATTTCCTTAAAATTTTAAAGATTTATTTATTTATTTGATGGTCAGAGTGACATAGATATGGAGAGAATGAGTGTGAGTGTGTGTGAGAGATTGAGAGAGAGTCCATTCACTGATACACTCACCAAATGCTCACAACAGCTATAGTTGGGCCAGTTTGAGGTCAGGAACTAGGAACACCATCTTGGTTTCCCACATGAGTGGCAGGAACCCAAGAAGTTGGGCCATCATCCATCATCCAGGCCAATTATCAATATCTGTTTGATTTATTATTTTTGTGGGTTTGTTTGAGCTCACAAAATAATATTTTGGAAGGAAGAGAAATTAGTCACATGGGTATCCCAGGGAAGGACCTAAAGATATAGGGATACCAATTGGAAAAATCTCTATGATGAGGTAGGAACATTCCAATATATGGATGAACTGAGGGAAGCAGGAGTAGTTAGGTAACTTTAAACATGAATGAAGCCATATAAAGAGAAATAAATAAATAGGGTGGAACGTGGAAGAGAAAATAGAGTTATTAGGGAAATGGGATTTTTTTATTTAAAAAGGTGAAATTTCATCATATTTGTACTCTGATAGAAATGTTCTAGCAGATGGAGAAAAGAGTTAGGCAAGCACTTAGTCAACTTTTGCTCTCTATAAGGAAATAGCTGAAATAAGTTCTTATAAAAAGAAGACATATTTATTTAGCTCACAGCTTTGTGGGTTCAAGTCCATACTGAGTAAGCCCCATTGGTCTGGCCACTAATGAAGTTAGCAATGGCAGGGAGTGGAACATGGACCAAAGGTAGAGGAAGAATCACAGGTGAGCTAGGGAACAGAGAGACACCAGGTGGGCACAAGTCAGTTTATAACCACACCTCTCACAAGACATATTTTCTGACCTAAGGACCTCCCACTGGTCCCATAAGAGAGTTTCTACTCTCTTAGTATCATCAATTTATGTCTTTGGATTTTAATCATCTATTGAGTTTAATTAAGTACTAGTCTCAGATGAATGTTGATAGAAGTCACAGATCAAAGCTTGGGGGTGTCATTATGACAAACCATGAGTTTCAGAGAGTGTGGTAGAAAGACTACAGGGATTCAGGAGGAGCTATAGAAAGGTTAGAGTAAGGTACACACAATGACCTGCAAGATTAGTGTATGCAATATAAAAATAAATTAAGAAATTGTTTGATGAAGACAGGAGAAATAGCAATTAGGAATAGCCAGTTCTGGTGACTTAGAATTCAAGAAAGCATTTGGTAATGTAGAGGACACCCATAATGACCCATATTATTTTACTATGTAATAGTATCAATCAGAGATCAAGATTTACTTTTGTATCAGATTTGAATTTTAGATAAAAACTAGAGAACTTTTGTTGCTGGTTCTTGGTTTGTCATCATTCCCATACTCTACTGTATCTTCTACAGGAGTCCGAGGATGCCTGGTATAGTTGATCTCAGTTCATTTCTTCAACATTGTTTGATTCTTCAATCATGTAGTTTAGGTCATTATTCATGTTCATATTTAAATGTATCTTCCCATTCCAAATAAGAATATATTCCCAAATATTCAACATCGATTATTTTAGTGTGTAAGTTCTTTAAAGGAGGCATAGGGGCAGGGCATACAAGTGGAAGCAACAAAGAAAAAAACAAAGGCTTTCTATAACTTGTTGAATAAATAAATATTAGAGTGATGTCCCACAGGTGTGAGTCATTTATACATTCATCCCATAGTGTTTGCCCCCAAACATTCCTATTTATTTTGCACATGTCATTTTAAACCAACTATTCCTATAGGATCTGCAGCCTGTTTGTTAGTTATCAATGTTTTACTCCCTTATAATTTTACTTAAGAAAATATTGGTAGTGTTTTTTTAACATATGTTTTCAGATAAAAAAAATCACTCTTCAGGTAAACATACCATCTGATGTGTCACATGGCTATGGTTCTTTACAATTACAATAAGTAGTTAAGGATAGGACTGGACTTCTATGGTTGCTACCATTTTTCTAGCTAAAATAGTGAAAAATGAAATATCTGCTCACAATTGTTTCCAGCTGACAACAGCTGGACAGAAAGGAAAAAGAAACCCTGATTTCTGGAGATTGAGAGGAGTCCTTCACCAGCATTGGGCTGCCTTCCTCCGTGTACCACCAAAATGATCAAATATTACTTAAAGTATGGTCAGCACAGCTTAATATCTGAGGTCTAATATTGAGGAACTTTAATTCTGTTTTCCCTCCATTGTGCAGATTCTGATTTTTCACACTGATTACAATATTTCTTGCATGTGCTAGCTGTACTCAATACTGTCAGGCCAGTCAAATGAGTGGCTATTGCCTTTTGCTGGCTTCTTCCCAACCTGAATATCTCCAAACTATCGCTAGATGAGAGCTGGGTTTTTGGAAAGTGAGAAACCACTGGCATTAATTTTAGTATCCCAGGACATGAATAGTTATGTATTAAGAAGTGATGGTACCATTATAGGCAAATGGCAGTGTGTTGTGCCAAGACTTTAAAGCAGTTGGCTCATGATTCATAGGAGTTTCACAGGACACAATGCCAAGACTCTAAATCCATGCCAATCAAAACTCTAACATTTAAAAAACTGAAAGTGCCATATCTAATAAATAACATTAGACAATCAAAAAGCTACAGTTGTAAGTTTAGGAGTGAAGTAACGTAAAAACAAATAGTAAACTAAGTATTTGCCCCAGTGTGAATGAACAACATCTAAGGAATAAAACAGAAAGCAAGATACCACTAAAAGACACACACATACACACACACACATACACACACCACGTTGTAAGGACTAGAATCATAGGTCACAGATAGTAAACAGCAATTCAAATATAAAACCTCTAATTTTCATTAATATATTCTCTGATCCAAGAATTACATATTTTAATAATCCATTGCTTAGATTGCTACTATAGATTTTCCCTTAGCCAATCAATATATTGATTTATCATCCTGTAACAAATTTTTAAATTCAGAAGTGAAAAGGCTCTGTGGAATCCATCCTCTATGTGAGTGTGAGTCACGTGAACACCATTGTTCCTGAGTCGGGTAACATACATGACTCCGTCATCTCTTAAGACGTCATACTGACAGGTCATGACATGGGTCCGGGGTAAGCCACGCATTTGGGTGTCCTCAGCCAGCAGGGGTGCAGCCCTCACATCTAGGAACCCTGGGTATTTTTGGGCCAGTTCAGAACTACCATAGGTTGGAGTGTTATAGACATGTCCTTTCTTAAACTTCTCAGGGAGCAAGGAGCTCCAATTAACATATTTGAACAGGTGACTTGAGTCCACTGGGACGTGCTGATTGAGGAGCAAGGCCTTTTCAAGTGATCTGTCTGTGGTGAAGTATTCACTCCAGTACCTGGCTGCCAGTGATTTGGGCAGAATTGGAAAATTGGAATTTTCTCGATACGATGGTAAATCCAGATCCAGATTCTGAAGTGCAGGATATATTAAAGACTGGGTCTTGAGTTTGACCTTGGCATTTGGATCCCCAAGGAGCTGAAAAGCAATTTAAAGTGAGCCATTTGAATGAAAAATTTTTATTTAAAATCTTATTTTCATTCAAATACCATATATACCTATAATATAAGAATCTCATTAAGATCAAAAAATTCAAAATATCTCAAAGATTTTCCAATTATCAGTATTACAATGTTTGCAATTTAATGTTGTCCCTGTAAGCTAAAGGAATTGTACTACATAACTCACAGGTGCAAAAAGAGGCCATAAAATCTGATTAAAAGCAAAATCTCTACCCTTGAAATTCAAGTGGACTTTTATCTCTTTTTCTATAAGTTAAAAATGCTTGTCCATATTGATGTCAACAATCACCTAAGGGAAGAATCAGATAACCAGAAATTACAATTAGGATCTGACACTAAAGAGATGGATCCCAAGTAAACCCTAGAGTCTGTGATACATTTTGGTAGAGTGATTTTATTATTTAAAAAAAAAAATTTTTGAAAAGCAAAAAGATACAGAGCAAAGAGAGAGGGAGAGGAGAGAGAGAGAGAGAGAGAGAGATCTTCCATTCCCTGGCTCACTCCCCAAACGTCCACACTAGCTGGGGCTGGGCCAAGCTGAAGCCAGGGCCTAGAACTCAATCTGAGTCTCCTACTGGGTGTCAGACTAAGGTCTTCAGCCATCACCTGCAGCCTTCCAGAGTGTATATGAGCAGGAAGCTGGAATTGAAAATAGAGCCTGGACTTGAACCCAGACACTCTGATCTGGGATGCAGGAATCCCAATTGCATCTTAACAACTGCATTATATGCCTGCCACTGTTTAATTTTTTAAAAAGTGAATTTCAGGTTTGTTATTTTGGTTCATGATAAAACATCTATATAATCATCTCTGCAACACCTACACAAGAAATAGTTCTCCCAAGATAGTAGATTGTTGGGAACCATGATTAGGCATTTTTCAGTCTCTCACTCTGATTATGAACTGGTATGTTTTGCCTGTAGTTCTGTTCATAGTATCTCCATCTATTTATGTCCATTTTATTAAATTCATGCAGATTAAGAATTGTTAAGTTTTTTTGATAGTTTTTAAAAAATTAGCTGTCCTTCTTTATCTATTAATACTTTAAATTTCTGTTTCATTATATGCTTTTTCTGCCAATTTGCATTCAAATTTTCTGTTTACTTGTGTTTTTAATGTATCTTATATAAACCTGATATCCTAGTATTGATATTACAATCAGATCATTTAGACCTGCATGTTTCAATTGTTTCTGTACTAGTTTAGGAGTTTATACCTGGTTTCTGGCTTTTAAATGGTTTCCATAAGGATTACAGTGTGTGTTTTCAATTTCTCAAAGACTAATGAACTCATCTAAGAACAATTCTATTACTTTATCTCCACTAAGACAATAAAATGGATCAATAACACTCATAGCTATCATCCTCTCATCTCTTAACGTATAGCTCCTTTTAAATCATTCTAAATCAATATGTTTTATGATTTTAAATTATCCAATTTTAGTAAACTTTGCCACATCTTAACACAACCTTGGTCTTTACTTCTTCATGCATCTTATCTTTTTTTTGTTTTGTTTTGCATTTCCTTGTCCCTGAAACCCTTCACTTAAAATAGATTTTAGTGAGTTCCATTGATGGAAAGTTCTTGTAGTTTTGAACTATCTGAATAGTTTCTATTTCTCCTTTACTCTTGCATAATAATATTATGGGGCATCAAGTTAGATTGGCAGGTATTTTCATTCTGCATTTTGGCAATACCATTTCACAGCTGAGAGCTTTCACTGAGAAGGAAGTTGTCAGTCTCGCTGTTCTTTAGTGAAAGCAATTTTCTCTGGTTTCTAGGATGTTCCCCACTACATTGTTTCCTCATTTTCCTCACTTTCATTTTTCTTTTTCCATTGATAGACGTAATTCCTATTTATTTCTTTTTAACCTTTTCAAAAATGATGTTCAGGATTCATGGGATTTCTTTCATCTGTAATTTTAAAACCTTTCATCATTCTGACACAATATTGAACATTAAATTTTAAAATACTTCATTTTCCAATTCCCTCCCGTTTTCTCATAGAACACTTAAACAATATTGAATATTCCCAGACTATATCTGCCATTTTTTATCTTCTACTCTGTATTTTTATCTTTTTGGCTCTCCATCTCAATTTTGCAAAGTGTCTCATACCATATGAGTTAATAGGACCCATATTGCATAATTTTCCACTTACATTATCATCTCCTCAGTGTTCTAAGTCATGCATAAAAATTAATTTTAATCATTTCATTTTTAGGGTTACATTTTTCATTGCTTTCCAAAACTCAACTCTTCTGTAGAAATTTATAATTTTGTTGTGAATTCATTTTGGAAAAAACAATGGTTATTTTATTTTATTGGCTAAAAACAAACATCTGAATTTTGTGTAGTATCTTTCTATATCTGCTGAGTTCATTTACTTCCTTTCAGAGTTTCATGTTTCATTTTCCTAGGTATATGTGACTGTGTATTGGACATTGAATTTCAAAAAAGAGCTGCAGCAATAATGTAAAGTTGATTATAAGAGCTTATTTTCCAGGGAGAACTTGTACCCTTTTGGGTCAACCACATAGGAGTATTAAACACCCCCTCCACGTTATTTTAAGGTCATGGCCTGAGTTTCCACTGACCAAGCTGGTGCAAAGCAAAGTTCAGAGGCACCTGAAGCTTGTTTTACAGTCACTGCACCTGGACCCTGAGAGCCTCTGTCTTTAAGGCCTCGCCTACACATGCAAAGGAGTGGTTTATTAACATCCTCCTATATGCAGAGATCATGAACCTGAATGCAAGTCTATAACCCTGAGAGACTCCCAAACTTACCTGAGGTGGAAAGTTTCCTACTGGCTACCACAGACATTTCAGGCAGAAAATATATTGAGTGCAGAAGCTATTTTTATGGGTTTTATATTGTTTTGTCTTGTACTTTGGCCTAGTAATCTGCTACAACTTAATTTGCTTTTTGACTCTCTAAAGAATACTATAAAATATTTTATATAGATTCACGCTAGAAACATTTTATCTAATTTATCCCTATAGGATTCTGAACCATATAAGAGGAATGGTTTATTAATCACCACGGTAAAAAGAAAGTGATGTTAAGAAAGATTAGGTGACTCATTCAAGGTCACCAGGGAACATTGGTGCAGTTTCAAAAAATCAATGTTTCCTAATATGTTCTTTGAGCTACAACATCAAGATGTCTCTCAGAGCAACAGTGACTCGATACTGTAGTCTCCACTAGAAAATGTGTATCAATTTTTGGAAAGTAATATATATATATGTATATATTTGTATTATATCAGAAAAAATCACAGATTTTGTGTTTCTGCTGTAGCCGGAAATTAGGAATACATTATCATAGCATAAAATGGCCAAAAATATACACTTATATTTCCTTACGTAAAAATAAGTTTGAGTACAACTTTCAAATTGAGCATGTGATTAAATTGCAGAAATTAATTTGCAAGACTGTATGGATTTTTTCCCAAAAAACACTGCTTCTAAAACATCAATACAAAATTTAGTTCTTAGGTGAGAAAGTCAGTAACAAAATAATGTTACCCACAATCTGATAATTAAATTATGTAATAGTTTAAATTGATAGCAAATAAGTGTACAGATTTAGCTAAATAAATGTTATAGAAATTTGTAAACAATCTCTAAGTTACAGTCTCTTTCACAATAAAAATGTATATAAGAGTCTGTTCATATTTTGCTATGCATAGTTTGGTTATTGTAAGAGTGAAAGTTTTTATACAAGTTTCAGCATATGACACTGATGATAATTGGAACTGTGGGGTTAGCCAGTTTTGATTTTTGATGTCACTAATTGACTTCATGAATATTATTCCCCAGTGTCACAAACAATAATCACATTTAAATCAATGATCTATTAGGGATATTTTATATATTTTTAAAAAGAAAAGAATTGTGAATGAAGTAGAAATAGAAATACTAGATAAATATCTTCCAATGTGTACATGCATCACTATTGTGAAATATATTAATAATATAACATATTTACATATATCTGAAATGAATGTTGGCATGCAGGATACTTTTAAGAATAAAGCAAAACTGAACATATTACCTGCTGAGTCACGGCTGCGGCTAAATTCCCACCAGCACTGTCGCCAGAAACACCAACTCTCTCAGGATCCACACCGTATTTTTCAAGAATATCTTTGCGTAAAAACCAGCTTAATGCACCATAGACATCCTCAAATTGAATGGGAAAATGGTATTTAGGTGCTAGTCTGTAGCTGTTGGCAGAAGAACAATTTTAAACCAACTTCTCTTAGTTTAAAATAGAAAAAAAATTAAACCAACTTCACTTAGCTTAATTTAAAATAGAACAAATTCTCTTTAAATTTGATACTTCGATAGTTATAAAATGATAATAGACAAACCTCATCCTAATAATGATGCAAAATACGGAAGTTTTCACAATTTTTATTCTGATGAAAGTATGCTGTTTACAGTCTTTATCTATATTCCTGCAGAACAGTGGTCTTTCTATTTGTTTAATTTTTATTTACTGGAGGATTAAGCCTGTGACTATAAAGTAAATTGAATATATATTATTGCAAAAATTAAAAGAAATAAAAACAGGATGCAGGAGAGAGGAAGGGCATATGGTATCATTATGGGTTTAAATTGAATGTATAAAATGCATGAAACTGTCCTCTTTATATAATAAAAAATGACAAAAATAGAAAGTAAGAAATAAAATAAAATGTCACAAAATTGCACACCTACACATCCACACACAAAAACAAAACTGAAAGTAGTATTAAGCTAAAAAAATAAGAATATGCAGTAAGTTCCCAGCTAACCTTCTTCCAGAATGCTTTTTTGTAATCATTACACTTTACTGATAAGCAATAAATGGGAAAAAGATCTTAGAAATTATACCACTCTATGTCAATCTAATGTTCAAATTGGCATGTAGTTTCTACTTGGTTTTTGGCATAATTTCTTCATTTTTTACTTATTCCTATAGCTTTATTTTATATTGTCATTAATCTAGAACGCCTTTTAAGCATAGATTTGCCTGTGTTCTCTCTTGCAATTTGATGACTGGCTACTTTTTTTTTGTTTTAAATATTTACTTATTTATTTGAAAGGCAGTGGTACAGAGAGAGAAGAGATAGAAAGGAAAGAAATTCTATACACTGGTTCATATCCCAATGGCTGCAATGGCCTGAGCTGGGCCACAATAGCCAGGAGCCATAAGCCAGGAGCCTGCAGGTTCATTTGGGTCTCCCACATGAGTGCAGTATCCCAAGCATTTTGGTCATCTTCTCCTGCTTTCCCTGGCCCAATAAAAGGAATTGGAAATGGCCTGCCTGGGACAGGAACTTGCACTCCCATGAGATGCTAGTGTTGCAAGTGGCAGCTTAAAGTGCTATGCCACAACACCAGCCTCAATTAGCTACTTAATGAAAGATTCTACTGCAATTTAATTTTAAAGACTAATTTTTTATATTATTTGAAAAACAGAGTACAGAGCCAGGCCAGGACCAGGCCAGAACCAAGAGCCCAAAGCTTCTTATGGATTCCCTATATAAGTGTAGGGGCTGAAGCATTTGGGCCATCTTTTGCTACCTTCCCAGGCATGCTAGCAGGGATTTAGATTGGAAGTGGAGCAACTGGGACTTGAACTGGCATCCATGTGTGATGCCAGAGACCCAGGCAGAGGCTTAACCTGTTATGCCACAACACTGGCCCCTACTGTGACATTTTGAACTCATTGCTTTGAAAGTGTTTTGTTTTCTAATGCTCAAAACAGCTCAATTATGTGAATAATATGACATAATTTCCAGTCCACAGAAGAAGGACCTGAGGTGATGAGGTAATGGTGTGCCCCAGACCAAACAATGGATTGCTGAGCTGGGATTTGAACCTTATTCTCTAATTCGGAAGCCTTCATTCTTAATCACTCTGCTAAGGAAGCTGGCTAAGGAAATCAGCAGTTAATTTGTCCCAATGATGTAATAGCTCAATTTCATTGAATAATTTCTAAATTTACCACTTTGGTTTCTTATTATTTTCTAAGTTCTTATTTCCTTTGGACTTTGTCCTGGTCATGATCTAGTCCACCTTCTCTATGAACACCTTCTCAATTTCATTTTAAGCACTCCTAATCTAAAGAAAGAAATAACCAGAAAAGCTGATAGTGTCTTACTAGATAATACACCTGCCCAAATACTAAAGAAACTGACCAGCGCTCTTACTTGGTTGAAACGACAACAGCATCAAGCCTATTTGCTGTGTTTCTTGAGAGAAAGTCATAAGAAAGCATAGCTGCAATAAAAGAAAACAAATTCAGAGATGTTCAAATGAGTTAACATGTCTTTGTCAATAGAAGTTTACTGGCATGCCTTATTCCTAATTCATGTATTCTGAAAAATATATTTGCAATATTTCCTCATCACTATAGAACATGAATTTTGCTCAGTGAGATGTGGGGTCTATTTTCTTGTCTTCTCACATCTTCACAATTAATAATTGTGACTACTCAAGATTAATCTCCACTTCTTGCATTTAGCAGGTGTTCTGTGTTGAAATTACAAAACATAATATCTGAATTTAAGAAAGCCACAGTGTACGGGAAATAGTGGTGGGAATGGCAGGCATATAAATCAAGGGCAATAATGTAAAATAACATTTGCCTAATGGAAGAGTACAAAGACTGCTGTAGGGAAACAGTATTAGATTTCATGAACTCTTCCAGCAGAGAGAGAGAGAGAGAGAGAGAGAGAGAGAATGAATAAGAGAAAGAGGGAGGGAGGGAAGTAGGGAGAGATGGAGCCCAGAAATTAAACCATGCATCTACAGCCAACTGAGCTTTGACAAAGGTGACAAGAATAGTCATTGCTGAAAGGAAGGTCTTTTTAATAAATGATGCTGTCAAAAGCAAACATATAAGTAGAAGAATGAAATTAGAACCTTACCTCACACCATATTAAAAAATATCAACTCCAGATTGATCAAAGATAGAAATGTAAGATGTGAAACTGAAATTACTTGAAGAAAAGGCAGGTACTGTAGTATAGTGGGTTAAGTCACTGCCTGCAGTGCTTGTATCCCAAATGGATGCCAGTTCAAGTCCTAGCTGCTCCACTGCGGATCCAGCTCTCTGCTAATACACCTGAGTAAATAGCAGAAGATGGCCAAAGTGCTTGGGCCTCCTGAACCCACATGGGAGACCAGGAAGGAATTCCTGGCTCTTGGCTTCAGCCTGGTCTATCCCAAGCCATTGCAGCCATTTGGGAAGTGAACAAGAGAATGGAAGACCTCTCTCTTCTCTCTCTCTCTCCCTCTCCCTCTTCCCTCTTGGTAAATCTGCCTTTCAAGTGAATAAAATAATTTTTTAAAGAAATTAGTAGAAGAAAACATGGGAGAAACAGGTCAAGAGATTAGTGTAGGTGATGATTTCTTGGATAAGTTCCCAAAGTGTAAGCAACAAAAGCAAAACTAAACAAATGGTTTTATGACAAACTCAGAAGTGTCTGTGTAGCAAAGGAAACAGTCAATAGAGTTAAGAGATATCTGACAGAATGGGAGAAAATATTCCCAGGCTAATGATTTGACAAAGGATTAATTTCCAGAATATCAGTATTTCAAAAACAACAGCAACAACAACAAAAACCCTAATCCAGTAAAGAAATGGGAAAAGACCTGAAGAGACAATTCTCTAAAGAAGAAATAGAAATGGCCAATCCAGGAAAAAAGGCTCGATATAACTAGCCATCAGGAATGTTGAAATCAATGCCACAGTGAGATATCCAGTCACCTTTGTCAAAACGGTTGCTGAAGATGATGTGGAGAAGGAGAAAGTCTTACACCTTGTTGCTGGGATTTTAAATAAATCCAGCCACTGTGGAAAACATTATGGGGATCTTTTAAAACTATACATGGAATAGTTTGTCTCACTACTGGGTATATTCCCAGAAGATATGAACCTGCTGACTCTAAGAGATAATGCCCCACCATGTTTATAGCAGCACTGTTCTCAACAGTCAAAACGTGGAATCAACCAAGATGTCAATCATCAGATGAATTGCAAAGAATATGGAATATACAATGCAGTGGGATAGCATTCATTGAAATCTCGACATTCGCAGCAAAATGAATGTAACTGAAGGACATCATATTGAGAGAAATAAGCCAGACAGAGAAAGACAAATACTGAATGTCTCCCTTATATATGACAGTTAAGAAAGAAAAGAACAAAAACTTCAATTTAAACACAGAATTGATTATTACTAGATGCTAGTAGGTATGAGAGGACTGACAAAAGCTTGTATTTTAAATAGTAATAGGGGAAGTTAGGCATGGTTCACTAATTGTGACAGAGACATTAATATGAGGTGTTAATAGGGGGCATGAAGTGAAGGCATAATGGAATTCATATTATTACTCACAATTGTTTTCTAATTCTAAAATTAATAATACATACAAATTCTTTAAACACAGTAAATATTATCTTATGTTTCCAAAATTGAGTCCTGAAAATTCATTTTTTCAAGATATATTTATTTGAAAGACAAAGCTACAGTGAAAGAGACACACACATACACAGAGAGAGAGAGAGAGAGAGAGAGAGATACACAGAGAGAGAGACAGAGAGAGAGAAAGAGAGAGAACTTCCACCTGCTGGTTCACTCCTCAAATGCCTGAAAAAACAGGGGCTGGAGCCAGGTTAAAGTCAGTGGCCAGGAGCTTTATCAAGATTTCTCAGGTAGAAGCAGGCACCCAAGGATTTGGGCCATCTTCTGCTGCTTTCCCAGGCACATTAGCACGGAGCTGGAATGGAAGTGGAGCGGTCAAGACTACAACAAAGTTTGTAAGGGATGCCAGCATTGCATGTAGTGGCTTAACCTGATATGTCATGATGCTGACCCCATAGTACTGAAAATTCTTAATTTCAATTATGCACTAACTCTTTATACTTTAACCATGATTATACAAGTCACATTTATATTTTGGATACCAATTTATAACACTTTTCATTAATGCTGGAAGAGCATCCACCAAATACTCCTATATATCAGAGCTTATCTTTCTTTTGTTACTTTACCTTCATAAACAAATGCCCATTATTCAAGAATACTCAATGCAAAAAAATTTTAAACAAGTACTTAGGCAGTGAGACTCATGGGAATAAGCTGTGGTACGCTGTGGTCACGTTTTGTGTTAGAAACATCACTTGGGTGTCAACTAAAGGCTTCACTGACAGAGTTTATAAAATATGAGACAATCATCCCCACCTATTCCTCCAATTCTCATCCTTGATCTACATCAACACCCATAAGCAATACCTCATTTGCTCTTGTCACAGAAAAAGTAGTTCTAGTACCCCATGTAGTCCTCATCCTCCAATTCCTTTTCCTATCCCCAGAGTCAGAAAAGCCCCCAGCCGCTCAGCTAGCCATCAGTGGTAATGTTTTTCCAACATTTGTCAATTTCAATTTTAAATTTGTTCATAAAATTCCCACATATCAATACATTTGTAATATGAAACATATAATATATATAAATAAATATAATGAAGTAAGTTATAAATAACATTCATAAAATAGTAAATATATGCTTATATAGAAATATCATATGCATTGAATATAATCAGTTGCATTCTAACAAACACAAATACACTTACTCAACACTGTGCTTCCTCATGTAATTCCTTCTTCATCATTTCCTGCATATCAAAGTTCACTGAAGGACTAGTTTCGCCATCTCCACTTATTTTATTCACTGTTTGACTCATTTCATTTTAATCTTCACTGCTACATTCCATCAAAAGTAGTTAATAACAAATTTCTAAGCTCATGAAACACTTTCTCTTCTTACCTGAGATTTGATACAACTTTTTGCATTTGTTATAGATATGGAATATGTTTCTCAAATTAATGTAAGCCCAAAGGAAAAACTGTCAGAGAGCTGAAGGATGTTGTTACTGTTCAACCAAGGGTCACATACCAGCACTCCCCAAACACCAGCCGCCACCGTGAATGTAAAACAAGCCCCTTCTCAGCGTCTCAGACTTTCTTCTAGGCACATACACGCGGACGGGAATGCCGTCAAATGTTGTCTCTGTTACAGTGACATTTTCATCAGATGTGGGTGGGACTTCCATAAGGAAAATGAAAAACATTGCAATGTTCATTAAATGGTTGATTCCTAAGAATTCAGCAAACAGAAACTACAAAAAGAGAAAGGGGAAAATAGGTTACAGACAACAGATGCCCCTGTTGTTTATGAACATAGAAGTATACATATGTGCTCCTTATGGTCATCTTGCATCCATATTCTGACAGCCAAATCTACATGAAACAGAAATACTGGGTTTTTGCTGCCTTTCCATAATACCTATCACAGGTAAACAAAGAGACGTAAAGAATTTAAATTGTAACTTGACAGACTGCACACTACATAGTTTGATTACAAAATAAATAAGTAAAAAGAAAAGTCCTCTACTGTAAAGAAGCTCAGAGTCAGGTAGAAAAGTGGGTGCACACTAACAACATTATACAACTTCGTCTTTCATAGGTATGCATAAAACACTTTGGCCACTTTCACTGGGGAAATAAACTGTATTCTTGACATCATTATCTGGTAGCATGTTGAAATAGCAGCTGAACTTTGATATCAATACTGGAAGTAGTGTAAACAGTGTCCAAGCAAAGAATTTCATTTTAGGATTAAGCCATAGGCATATTCATAACTTCTACTAAAACCAGAGAAATGCAAGTTGTCTGGAACAACTCTAAAGTCAGCTCTACAAAGGGAGCTATGAAGGAAAAGTCACCTCCAGGGTTGCATCTGAAATTCAGTAAACAATATTGGAGTCAGAGACATAGTAAAAAATAATTACATCTTGACATTTCAGCTACGATAACATGCAATTTTATTTACTGTTTTATTATAGTTCAAATTTAAAATTTCCTATTATATTTTCAGTTTCCTCAATGAATTCTGTTACTCTTACTTAAGTTGTCTTTGTGTTGTCAGACCAATCTAAAGAATAAGATCCACTAAGTTAAGCGTTCCAAACCTGAGTGATAGTTAGCTTGACACGTTCACTTAAAAGCATTCCTTTAAGGGTACTGGGGGGCCGGCACCACGGCTCAATAGGCTAATCCTCCACCAGCAGGCACATTGGGTTCTAGTCCCGGTTGGGGCGCTGGATTTTGTCTCGGTTGCCCCTCTTCCAGGCCAGCTCTCTGCTATGGCCCAGGAGTGCAGCGGAGGATGGCCCAAGTACTTTGGCCCTGCACCCGCATGGGAGACCCAGGAGAAGCACCTGGCTCCTGGCTTCGGATCAGAGCAATGCACCGGCCGCAGCGCACTGGCTGCAGCGGCCATTGGAGGGTGAACCAACAGCAAAGGAAGACTTTTCTGTCTGTCTCTCTCTCACTCACTGTCCACTCTGCCTGTCAAAAAGAAAAAAAAAAAAAAGAGTACTGGGAAATACAATCCCTAGCTTGCTAGTGAGCACTGAAAGAGGAGCCACCAGAAATAAAACTTCTGCATTGACACTTTGGGTCAATCTCAGAGGATTCTCTGAAGTGTTAATTTCTTCAGGAAGATAGCAGGTCTTCCATGCAAATGACAATGTTACCAGTTACCATGACCTGATGGTCCACTACTGCAGAGCCCAGCACTGGCAGCTGTGATAAACTTACAGTGCCTGCAATGTAGCTCCAATCTTCATAGACTCTATGAATAAGCTCACCCCTACTCACAAATGAGCTCCAATACAAAGCAGAATGATGAGGACCTTTAACAGGATGCTCAGGCAGGAAGAGTCCTGAGAACCCAGGATGCTCTGTTTGATCTTAACCTGTCTGCTCTGGAAAGCTGTGAATTTTTAAAATATTTATATCCAGTAAGTTTGATTCCCTCCTTTCCAATTTGTATCCCCTTGATTTCTTTTTCTTGTCTAATGATTCTGGCTAAAACATCCAGAATTACATAGCAGTGGTGAAACTGGGCATCCCTGTTTGATAACAGATCTTAGTGCAAATGCTTCCAACTTTTCCCCATTGAATACGATGCTGATTGTGGGTTTACCTTAATTGTGTTGAGGAATCTAAACCTTCTATACCCAATTTGCTTAAGATTTTTTTATCATGAATGGATGTTGTATTTTATTAAATGATTCTCTGCATGTATTGAGATAATCATATAGTTATTATTCATTAATTTGTTAATGTGATGTATCAGATTTATTGATTTGCATATGTTGAAACATCCCTGCATATCAGGAATAAATCCCACTTGGTCTGGTTCAATGAACTTTCTGAAATGTTGCTGGATTTGATTAGCTAGTATTTTGTTGAGAATTTTTTCATGCATGTTCACAGGCGATATTAGTCTAGTTCTCTTTGTTATCTTTTTCTGGATTTGGAATTAATGTGTTGCTGGCCTTATACAAGAGTTTCATGGGGCTGGCGCTGTGTGCAGTGGGTTAACACCCTGGCCTGAAGCGCTGGCATCCCATATGGACACTGGTTCGAGACCCAGCTGTTCCACTTCCAATCCAGCTCTCTGCTGTGGCCTGGGAAAGCAGTGGAAGATGGCCAAAGACCTTGGGCTCCTGCACCCACATGGGAGAGCCAGAAGAAGCTCCTGGCTCCTGGCTTCAGATCGACACAGCTCTGGCCATTGCGGCCAACTGGGTAGTGAACCATCGGATGGTTTCTCTCTCTCTCTCTGCCTTTCCTCTCTTTGTGTAACTCCGACTTTCAAATAAATAATTTTTTTAAAAAAAGAGTTTCCCTCTGTTCCATTGTTTTGAATATTTTGAGAATTATAATTAGTTCTTTAAAACATTTGGTAGAATTCAGCAGTGAAGCCTTGTGGTCCTTTCTTCATGGTGAGGGTTTTTATTACTGCTTTAATCTCGTTTGTGTAGGTTTCTATAGCTTCATAACTCAGTTTGATAGATCATTTGTGTCCAGAAATCTATCCATTTCTAGTTTTTATAATTTTTGACAAAAATCTGTTTGTAGTAATTCTTGATGATTTTTTTTAATTTCTGTGGTATCTGTGGTAACATTTCCTTTTTCACTTCTTATTTTATTAATTTGTATCTTCTTGGATTTTCTTTTCATTTTTTTCGGTCAATGATGTATCAGTTCTGTTTATTTTTTCAAAAAACAGTGCTTCATTTGACTGATGATTTGTATCACTTTTAGTTTCAATTTTGCTTATTTCTTCTCTCATTTTAATTATTTCTTTTCCCCTACTAACTTCAGATGTGCCTTGTTCTTTTTTCTCTAGGTCTTTGATATGTATTGTTAGATCATATATTTGTTGCCTTTCTGATTTCTTGATATAGGCACAACTTGCTATAAACTTCCCTCTAAACACTACTATTGCTATATCCCATAAATTTTGATATGTTGTGCTGTTATCTTCATTCATTTCTAGGACTTTTTTTTCCTTTTTGATTTCTATGATCCAGTGGTCACTCAGAAGCACATAATTCAGTCTCAATATGTAAGAGCATCCACAATAATTTGATTGAAGTCCTGAATTAAGGAAAAGAATTTCACAGAATATAACTAACTTCTTTTTGGTTTTATGAATGCAATTATCTTGGAAATCTAAGTTCAGACTATATACAGTCAGAACTATTTTCAGAAAATAGTTGTTCAGTCCTTCTTTATAAGAATATTAGCAAGAAAACTAATGTGTTCTGCTAGCCAACAGCAAAAGAAATAATATGTATGGACACTAAATATATAAGTAAATTGGACTGCATCCAAATATTTCTGTCTCCCAGGTGATTAGCTGGAAGCTGTACCAGTATCAGAGCAGCTAAGACTTGAACAATACTCTGACATGGGACATGGGCATGTTAAGGAGTGGCTTAACATGCTGTGCTATGATGCCCAACAAAAGGCAATTTTTGATGTAAGTTTGAAAGATCAAATGAAAAACAAAAATGTATGACCAATTTGAATTTATATTCCTCAATGTTTATGCAAATTTGTATATTCATTAATCTTAAAGGGTCACACAAGAGTGAATTACCCCAGGGAAAAATGACATAACCGAATTTCTGATGATAAAATGCTGAGAAACACTAATGACACCCATTCTGGAATTTTCACATAATTGTGGTTATTCAGCAATTTGGAGACTGAATGATCATTCAGATTCAAGATTCTCACATATTGAGGCCCACTGGTTTATCTCTGAGAACCCATAGCAGCAAGAAAAGCTGAGCAGGGCTATGGCAATCAGTGATGAAAACAGATGATAATGAAATATTTTTTTTGAAAATGACTTAAAAATTACAAGCTTCTACTTATAGTAAGAAAATGGAAAGAAAGCAATTTTCAAAGTCCAAGAATCCCTCATCCGTGATAGGTCAGTTAGTGTTGAGAGCCATGTTTCTCATCAAGTCCAAATGCAACCTCAGAGTCCCTTTAAGATCATGCTGAGTAATCCTTCACAGCTCATCTCTTAGTTAAAGATATTTGTCATTCCTGTCTAGGAGACAATGCTACATCTCAAACTAGTTCAGCGCTCATTCCATCCAATGACTCATTTATCATCACTGAATTATTAAAACTCGGAGTTCCCACCATTCCTTACCCTTGCTAAAATTAATTGGTACAGCCCTTTAAAAGATCAGCAGGCAACACATTCAAGGAAGTTATTAGATTTACATTGGAAGAGAGAGGATGGGGGAAAATGGAAAAAATAACTACTTCATAATTAAGATTATATGGTTATCAAATATACTTAATCAAATAAATTTAATTTTTTGAAAGAAAGCAACAATGACAACAAATTTCCCATAATCTGCACTTTCCTTTTTCAGGAAACAACACGACAAAGTAAATAACAAATCAGTAACCACAATGATGAATTAATTCTTTAAATAGGCTAAAGGCCACAGAACACCCATGACCCATAAATATAGAAAGTCAAACAAAATCAGCAGACCAGTATAGAGATCCATGTTGGTAGGGCAGTGTGCAAAACTAAAATGGAGGTAAGAGGGCTCTAAAGGTGCCATATACAAATAAAGATAGAAAGTATTGTTCCAAGAAATGAGATAACCAATCAGAGTTTGATTACTGTGATAAGTAGCAAAACACCTTCAAACTACCCAGGAGGATCCTTTTATAAGCCAACATCCACAGCAGGAAAGAGTGGCAAAATCCTTTACTAACAATGCCAGCAAAGGTCAGATATGGGCAGGGGAGCTGACAGAAAAAATAATTCAAAAAATAGGTATTTAAAGATGATTGCTAGTTAAAAGAAGGAGTGAATAAAATTTGGTATGGGTACTAGTATTGATAAACTCACAAAAGCAATGAAAGACAAAATAATTTCATAAGTAAATTCAAAGAATCTCAGCATATCATGGGAGATAGAAATCAGAAAATTAAATGAAAGGGAAGAGAAAAGTAAAGATTTAAAAGAATGAAAGAAATGACATCCTAGAAGGCATATCATGAAGACTGTATACAAATATATATACATAGATAATTAATCTGAATAATAAAGTACTGCAAAATGACACAAAATGCTGTTATACATAATTCAAAAATAACTTTAAAAAGAGACTTTAAGTTATATTCTTATGAAATTCACCCAAATTAACAACTGTTATGCTAGTAAACTTAATAAAAATAATCAAATAACTAACAAATAAAATTAAAATAAACCATCTATCATACTGGTTCAGAGCCACGATAAAAGTCTAAAGAGAGTGTTGAAATTCCTAAAAAGAATATGTTTTCATAACATATGTTATGAAAGAGATAGTGAGCTAGCTATCTAACACTCAGGCTAAGTAACCATGAAAAATCAAATATTTTTTTTAATTACAGGGAGGCCATAACTTGCAGAGGAGGTTAAAGAAATGTGATTACATTTCCAAGTAGCCTCATTAGAAAAGAATCACAGGAACAGCTGTGGGCTCTCAGTGGCAGCCAGCCAGGCAGCTGCCCCATTACTTCCATAGCTCACCTCCCACCACGGGGAATCACACTTCCATATTCCATTAGCCTGCTGCCCCTTTCCCTTTAAACAAACAATTTCAATAAGAGTGCATTTTCATCTCTGACTTAAAAAATTATTGCAAGGAAACCTCAAAGCAATCAAATTCTCAATTCAACAATTATTTATGGACATGTCCTCATAGTCTACCAGAAAATAAGGGGAAAATGATTAAACTACATAACAACCCTGCATCTGGAGCATAAGACACAGCAGAGCGATCACTAGGAGAAAAACACCTTGTGGTGAAGGTTCTAAGACTGGATCGGTTCCAGATGAGAATCCACAAGCGGCCCATTGACTTGCATACTACCTCTGAGATTGTTTAACAGATTATTTCCATCAGAATTGAGCTAGGAGTAGAAACTGAATCACCATTGCAGATGTCTAAGCCAAACTACTACTTTAATAAATTGACTAATAGTTGTTTTAAAAAATTTAAAAATATGTTGCTGCTCAAAAAAAATTATTGCAAGAATTTTGTGACTAATCACAATGCTAATCATCCTGCCTTTCTGAAGCCCATGCTTCCAATTTGCTTCTTTCTGGCAGCATTCCTCAGTATTCACGCCATCAGACTCACACTAAGATTTTGTTTGTTTGCTTTTATTCCATGAAACTCACAATAAGATTTTAAAAAATTGGTACTCGGCTGGCGCCGCGGCTCACTAGGCTAATCCTCCGTCTTGCGGTGCCGGCACACTGGGTTCTAGTCCCGGTTGGGGCGCCGGATTCTGTCCCGGTTGCCCCTCTTCCAGGCCAGCTCTCTGCTGTGGCCCGGGAGTGCAGTGGAGGATGGCCCAGGTGCTTGGGCCCTGCACCCCATGGGAGACCAGGAAAAGCACCTGGCTCCTGGCTCCTGCCATCGGATCAGTGCGGTGCGCCGGCCGCAGCGCGCCGGCCACGGCGGCCATTGGAGGGTGAACCAACGGCAAAGGAAGACCTTTCTCTCTGTCTCTCTCTCTCACTGTCCACTCTGCCTGTCAAAAAAAAATTAAAAAAATAAAAATTGGTACTCACCTGGAGTGTATTGTTTTTTGATATTTAAAATCAAAGCTAACAAAGTATGTTCTCTATATTCATTCAGTTAGGCTTCTGCATTAAGGAGTAGTTAATAATATAAAGTGTTTCAATATGAGCTAATGTGTTGGTTATATAGCATAGCAGTTAAATTGGAAAGCTCCTATCCAACATTGGATTGACTGGATCTGAGTCCTGACTGCTCTCTCAATTTCTGCTTCCTGCTAATGCACACCCTGGGAGACCACAAGTGATGGATCAAGGAGCTGGGTCCCTGCCACTCATGTAGGAAACCTGCATTGAGTTCCCAGCTCCTGGTTTCAGCCTGATCCAGCACTGGCTGTGGGCAGTGAACTAGCAAATGTCTCCCTGCATCTAAGCCTTTCAAACAAATAAAACAAATGAAAAATCTAAAAACTAAATCAATGAAATAAATTTGCCAAGCAAAATTTAACAGCAAAATTTTCAAGAGTAGAAATTAAAACCAGACAAGGCCGATAATTATTTCCTGTTAAATGACCACTGAATGAGTAGAGAAAATCTGAACTTACCAAATTTGTTATTGTGTTGGATACTGCAATCACGCCCATCAGTCTCCACGGTTCCTCAATATTATCGGGGAGAGGAGTATAAACATAATAGGCTCCCAAAATCCCCGCAGTCAGAAGCAAAATTGTCTTTTTTCTCATGGTGGTTCTCTTTGGGTCTTTGTACTTCAGCAATGCTACAAATGCACTTCTGAATATGTTGATTTGTGATTGTATGTCTTAAGCTTCCACATACACTGTTGTATAATTTCCTGAATACAAATTCCACAGTTCAGTTTGTCATCTCCTAGGCAGTCCAGAAATTCTTAGTGAAGTCCAAAGAGCACTGTGAAACAAATAGCAGTTGTCTGCAAGTTTATAACCCTTCAAATAAAGTTTCTGTGGACATTTGCCAACAAAGTTATTAACAGGGAAATTATACTACGTTAGGAGGCATATATTGTAGACTGCGGGTGTAAATGAGTTCCTAGAGGGGCACAACCTACCACATAGCATGCACCTGCTACTAGCACTGGAACCCACAGATGCATTGGGGTCCACACGTGATGTTGGACAGCTTATGCATTTGGACATGTGTCAGTGACCCTTCCCACAGTGCAGAGTGTTATAGGGCATTTACACTGCTGGGAAGGTCTCTGGGTTTCCTGTTCCTCCATCTCTCTCTCTTCCCAAACTACTGGCACTCATTGATTCCTCCATTGTCTCCATTTACTGTGAATGAAGTAGAAATAGAAATACTAGATAAATATTCTCCAACGTGTATATGCATCACCGGTTAAGCCAGGCTAAACCCGGGACACGGGAAATTCCAGGTGTCTCACGTGGGTAAAAGGAACCCAATTACTACCAGAGCAGGAAGCTGGAATTGGAGATGGAGCAGTGACTTGAACCCAGGCACTCCCATATAAAATATGGGTGCCTCAAGTGGCAATTTAGCCACTGCACCAAACATCTTCCACAGATAATTTTTCATATAAATTTATTTGAAATTGGCTATTTTTTTCTGTAGGCAAAGAGATGGTTCATAATTGTTTTTTTTTTTTTTTTTTTTTTTTTTTTTTTTTTAATTTTTATTTTTTTTGACAGGCAGAGTGGACAGTGAGAGAGAGAGACAGAAAGAAAGGTCTTCCTTTGCCGTTGGTTCACCCTCCAATGGCCGCCGCGGCCGGCGCGCTGCGGCCGGCGCACCGCGCTGATCCGATGGCAGGAGCCAGGAGCCAGGTGCTTTTTCCTGGTCTCCCATGGGGTGCAGGGCCCAAGCACTTGGGCCATCCTCCACTGCACTCCCGGGCCACAGCAGAGAGCTGGCCTGGAAGAGGGGCAACCTGGACAGAATCCAGCGCCCCAACCGGGACTAGAACCCGGTGTGCCGGCGCCGCTAGGCGGAGGATTAGCCTAGTGAGCCGCGGCGCCGGCCCCATAATTGTTTACTTACTGTTTCAATATAATGAAGGATTTTTATAAATTCTGGAATGTAAAAGAAATCTTACATTCCTGAGATGAGTGCTGCTTGATTTAAATTACATGTTCTATTATATAAATATGCTACATCTTCTTTCTGGATTTCACTGGCATGTACTGTAATTTTTATCCCTTATTAAAACACCTGCTCTAATACATTGCCATGGAGATCTTAGTTAAAGCAATAAGGTCCAGGAAAATGATTCAACCAAACATGTTGGAAAAGAGGTTATAAAGCAGTCTTCACTGAAAAATTACATGATCAAGCAAGAACGTCCAAAGAATTTGCAACACTGCTCACAATAGCCAAGATTAAAACCAACCAAAGTGCTCATGATCAGATGGATGGATAAGGAAAATGTGGTATATGCACAATAAAATTTTATTCACCCATAGAACGAATGAAATACTACTATTTGCAGCAATATGGAATTAATTGGAACATGTATGTTAAATAAAATAACCCAGGCACAGAAAGAAAAATATTTCATATTCTCACTCACAGTTGAACTGAAAAGAGTTGGTCTCATAAAAGTAGAGGGTAGATTATTAATCATTCAAAGTCAGGAAGGATAGGGGGAAAGGGCATAGAAAGAAGCTGCATAAGTCATCAAAATACAAAAAATAAAAGAGTTACATAGGAGGTTTATTAGTAAGTCTTTCACTATTGTAACAAAATCCAAAATATTTAACTTATAAGGAGAAAATATTTTATGACTCACTGTTTTGGAGGTTCACAAAGATTGGCAGAACCCCTACCGCAGCCACTGATGGTGGTGTTTTTGATGCTCAAGTCCCAAGGTGGCACAGACCAGCACAAGGCGAGAGACAGAGAGTGCTCTTGTCTGTCAGTAGCTCTATATACAGTTACCAGGATTCAGTCATGGGGACTTTTCCTGATGACATAATTCAATATGGTCATATTCCAAAGATCCTACCTCTATAAACACCACAATGAGATTAAGTTTCTATACTGTTAATACCATTAATATTAGAATTTGGAGCCTATATTTCTGAACAATTTCATCAATTACATTCAAGTGATAAATTACATTCAAACTATAAGAGGCATAAGCACTTGTATTCTATAGCACAGTAGGGTGACAATAGTTAATAACATTTATTATGTGTCTTAATATAATTAGAAGAGGAAGCCTAGGGATTCCCATAAAAATAAATGTTAACTACCCTGGTTGGATGATTTCACAATGTATACATGTATCAGATAATCACTTTGCACCCCATAAATATGGATAACTATGCTGTCGAATAAAACTCAATATATTTAGTAGTTTTATGAATATAAATGTGATATAATGCTATTTTGTGCTTTTTTATACATATGAAAACTTTGAAACATATGTTAACTAAGTCATACATATGTGTGTGTGTATGTACACATATAAAGGGGAAATCCATAAGAAGCCAACAGATCAACTTCTTTAAAAGAATGAATGTAAGAAAAAATAAAAATTAGAATTTATTATTCATAAATAGTTTCAAAGAAGAGAGAAAAATAAACTAAGACAGAGATATTGAGATAATTTTTTGGGAGAGAGCTTATACTACAAAAAATGATTTTAAAAAACAGTTCCTTAGGAGAATGAAAATAATTGAAAGTGGTAACTTGCTCTATATGACAGAATGAAGATTTGCAGAAAGGTAATTATCTGGATCAATACAGAAGGTATTTGAGGGTGGGTGCTGTGCCACAGTAGTGAAAACTGTAGCCTTGATGCCATCATACTTTACTGGAGTGCCAGTTTGAGTCCCTGCTACTCCACTTCTGATGCAGTTTCCTGTTGATGCATCTGGGAAGGCACCCAAAAATGATCCAAGTAATTGGGCCCCTGTCACCAACATGGGACACCTGGATGCAATTCAGGCTTCTAGCTTCAGTGTGGCCCAACCCTGGCTGTTGTAGCCATTTGGAGAGTGAACCAGTAGATGGAAGTTATGTCTCTGTCTTTCTCTGTCTCTGACTCTCCCTATGTCTCTCTCTCTCCCTTTCTCTCTGTGTCACTCTGCCTTTCAAATAAATAAATAAATAAATTTTCAAAAATTTAAAAATGAAGATGTAGAAGGTATTTTGGTTCAATTTAAGTTCCTGAAAAGATGACACATAACAAGAACATTACAAACAAAATTTTGTTTTCTTTATGCATACAAAATTGAAATATATTCTAATAACAATCCAATAGATGGAATGAAAGAAATGTCAATGTGATGTTGCAAATTTCTGACTAGTTATGTGAATTAGTTTTGTTATTTGAAATTCTGTGAGGGTATTTCAATAATGTCATGCATATTGGAATTAAAAGATGAGTTATTTTTTATGTAAAATATTTTAAATCTGTAGCAAAATAGTAATAATATGCATTTTCCACAAACTTTTTTGAAGTACCTTCATATGCGATAACATAAATATGCATGCTATAAACTCTATCTCTACCACTTTAAGGAATGAATCCAAGAGATGTTACTCATAACTCAGTAGTGCAGAAAAAAATAAATCATAAAAATACTGAAATAATCCAAAATAGGGCAGAAAAAATGATGAATAAAGAACAAACTGGAAAATTTGGAACAAATTGGAAAGATAGCAAGAGAACATATTCCTGGACATACATCTGTTAATATCACCACATGTGACATGAGGCTCTCCTAGGGCATCCCAAGCTTGTTTATTAGGATGACTCTGACACTACACATGACACACAAGCTCAACATTTAAGATTATAAGATAGACTTCCAAGATGGAAGCTGATGACTAAATATGGTTCTTTTTTTAAAAAATACTTTGGAATACATTTTTTTTAAAGATTTATTTATTTATTTGAAAGTCAGAGTTACACAGAAAGAGGAGATGCAGAAAGAGAGAGAGGTCTGTCCAATGGTTCACTCCCTAGATGGCCGCAACAGCTGGAGCTGCGCCAATCCGAAGCCAGGAGCCAGGAGCTTCTTCTAGGTCTCCCACACGGGTGCAGGGCCCAAGGACTTGGGCCATCCTCTACTGCTTTCCCAGGCCATAGCATAGAGCTGGATCGGAAGAAGAACAGCCAGGACTAGAACTGGCGCCCATATGGAATGCCGGCGCTTCAGGCCAGGGTGTGAACGCGCTGCGCCACAGCGCAGGCCCCTACCTATGGTTCTTCAAAAAATCTGTATATATTGTTCCTGTATGAAGTAGAATTTAATTCAGAAGTCCTGAAATACATCACTGGAAGACAATATTTACTTTCTACTAGATCCACGTGCAAAGGTGTGAAATGTCCAAATGTGAAATGTCCAAAAGTATCTGGGCCTGCCTGGTTTAGCAGTAGATCAGGTCAAGTTCAGAATTATTTCTAATGTTCAAAGTAGAGCTGAGTTGACCAATATCCAACCAATCTTCAGTCACTGTTCCTCTGACTTTTAATTCAGCAGAGAGAGTATTTTTGTTTCATATATGTGTGAAATGTATATAGAGGTCCTGAATTATGTATTTCTTAAAAATTTTATTCATGGATTTAGTTTCTATATTTTACTTAATCTGATTACCTATTCTCAGCTAGCCATGTGCATTAACATCATCTTGGGTTTTCTCCTCAAAATAATGAATTGCCTTCCTCTAGTACTTAAGTCAAAATTGTCCTGACATGTTGTGACTGTAATTTAGGAAACAGATTCCTCCAGGAGGAGCAGAGATACACATTGGAGTCCTGCCCAGCTGAAAACAAATTAGACCTGGATTTCTTCTGAAATTGAAAGAAGAAACAAAGTACCAGCGAAATATGTAACAGTGCTCCAGTCACTTTAGCTCACTGATGTTCTTCAAGAGCTTACAGCACTTTGACAGAGAAGTAATTACTGGTAAGCCTACTTGTTTATCCCTCCAAAGCGTATATTTAGTCTTCACTTTTCATACAGTCCAATTAATGAAGAAACTATGACTACTTTTATTGTATTTTTTTCCTGTTATATTACTAGTGCATATAATTCATTAATGGTCAATATAGAGGATAATTTGAACAATGTTCAATTTTCTCAGTCTAAGTAATTCTCCTGAATTCCACATTGGTAAAGGAATGTGCTTTGCATTCCATCTGAATTAACCACAGCTATTCCAGACACAACATGACAGAACAAGAAGAGCTCTTTTCCTCCCAACACTTCAAAAAACCTATTCAGCATATATACAATTTACTCAACAGCTTAATGTCCCATGGACCACAGATCAATCAACTCCCAGATACTGTTGCATTGCTTTGGGGTGAAACAATGGCCATTTCTTCCTCTCATTTCTAGGAGTTGTTATGGATCAAGGCAAGAATGGCAACGTGGTTTTCTGGGTACCCTCTTTCTTATTGCTTATGTGGCATTGAGATAGGTGGTATGTTCATTGTCTGTTTTCTTGTCTTCCCTATATTTTCACACTGAGTTTTGCAAAGCAGTTTCATTCTTCTCAAGCCTATTCTCTACCCGTTTCTAATGCAGGTGTTAATGGTTGAAAATACAAACTCATAACTTACGACTTGAAGGAAGTCACAGTCTCCTGGAGATAGGTGTAAGGAGGAGCAAGCATAGAAGCCAAAAGCAATAATGCAGAAATAGTCTGTTTCAATGGGGCTGAGGTGTGAGGGCACTGTATTAGACATTGCCAAAACTGCACTAAAGAGCAGCAAGGAAATACGGAGACCTGGGATGTGGCTTATTTATCCATACTTTCTAAGTAAACAAAAGGGAATCTGTTTTCTGGCTTGTTCTCTTTTGAGTTCTTGGCAAGGATGTGTACTGGGGAGGGACCATGCTTCTTTGCCTCTGTGTTAGGATAAGTGCTATCTGCTTAAAGTAAAAAAATGTCAGGAAGATAAATAAAATAGAAGAAATCCTGAAGTGTGTGGGCATACCATGAGAAGAATCCTAGATATTATCTTGTGATGTTTCCAAAATTAAGTGCTGAATATCTTAAAATGTGAAATGCACACTGTATTTAAAAAGTCATACTTATATTTTGTATTAGTATAAATTAAAATGTTTTATTAATATTGTGAGAGCATCAGGCAAATACTGTTTTGTATCAGACTGAGTGTTAATTAATTTCTTTAACAATAAAAACTAACATTCTTAAAGATACATTGAATACATTCATGAAAATTGTTTTTAAGAAATGCAGAGTTGTGGAAATACTTGAGACATGCCATGGTCAAGTATAAGAAATACCACTTCAGTGGCAGCTGAAGACTTTACTGCCTGAATTTATAGAACATGTTGGGCAGAATCACCCCATTTATTGCTCCCAGTTTCAGCTCCAATATACATCAGTACCCATGAGCAATACATCTGTTCCTGCTGTCAAAAAGACGCATTTCTTGCTATTGCACTGCCCCTTCTTCCCCTCTGCAGAATCCAAACTCCCTTCCTTGTCTGGCAGGTCAGACAAACCTTCCCCCCTGCCTGCAGCCCCCACTCGACACATTTCTCTGACATAACTCAATTTATAAGGAGTCACAACTTCAGCTTATAAACACGTGCATGGACTACCTATATATTAATATAAAACACATAAACCATGTGTGCAGAAATAAAATAAGAATTTTTGTTGGCCGGTGCCATGGCTCACTAGGCTAATCCTCCGCCTGCGGCGCCGGCACTCTGGGTTCTAGTCCCGATTGGGACGCCGGTTCTGTCCCGGTTGCTTCTCTTCCAGTCCAGCTGTCTGCTGTGGCCCGGGATTGCAGTGGAGGATGGCCCAAGTCCTTGGGCCCTGCACCCGCATGGGAGACCAGGAGAAGCACCTGGCTCCTGGCTTTGGATGGGCACAGCACCGGCCTTAGTGGCCATTTGAGGGGGTGAACCAACGGAAGGAAGACCTTTCTCTCTCTCTCACTAACTCTGCCTTTCAAAAGAATTTTTGTTATAATCCTCTGAAACTGACCAAAGTCCAATAAAAACATATGCTCACATGCTAATAAATTTACTGAAAAATAATTAATAAAAAAATCAAAATAGGAACTTTATCACACTTACTGAAAACTGCATTACATGTCAGAAGATAGTTAGTGAGCCAAGTACTTAAGGGCAAGTATTCTTACATTATCATTTTTTTTTCTTGCATGGAAGATATTGCCTGCAGAGAACATTCAAGAGATGATGTGTGGTTTCAAGTAGTTGGCCTCCCTAGAAAGGAATCACAGGTCCAGCTATGGACTCTGGGTGACAGCCACCCAGCAGCTGCCCTGTCACCTCCACAGCTCACCCTCTTACGACTGGGATTTATGTGTGTGTATTTTCCCTTGGCCTTTTACTAACTGACTCTTATACAGAATATTTCATTAAGCATGCATTGTCATATCTGGATACAGTGTTATTACGAGATTTCTGTAGTTAACCACAGTGCTACTCATCCTCCCTTTCTGAAGCTCATGCTTCAAAAATGGTTCTTTCTGGCAGCATTCATGCTGTCAAATCACAGTCATGCTTTTTGGATTTTTTTTTAGCCAATGCCATTTTGTAGTATTTAAAATAAACACCATCAGAAAATTTGTTCTATATTCATTCTGTTAAAATTCTGTATTAAGGAATGGTTAAGCATAAATTAGAACCTTTTAAAGTCAGCAAATATATTTTAACAGTCAAATTATCAAGGCAGTATAATTTTTTAAGAAAAGCAGGTAAATATTTCATTGAACCAAAAAATATTCAAATTTGATAAAATTTTGAACTTACCGAATTTGTCATAGTTTTCACCGCTATATTCATATACATCAGTCTCCAAGGCTCCTCAGTATTACCAGGGAGAGGTGTATAAACATAATAGGTCCCAAGAATCCCCATAGTTGGAAGCAAAAGAGGTTTTTGTCCCATGTTACTTCCTGTCTTCTCTTTCTACATTGGCAAAGCTGCAAATGCACCTTTAAACCATTCAGATATTTAATTTTCATAGTTTGCTTTAAGCTAAATCATGAAGTATTACATAACACAAATTGCATGGCTTTGTTTGTACTTTCATGGTCAGCCCAGATATAATTATACCCTTGGTGCAAAGGTGAATTATGCAAAGCAAACAGTACTTATTTCTTGCAAGTTCTGTCAAATCCAGCAGTTTTACTGTGTTGCTAGGCAGATAGTAAACATTCATTGTATAATTATTAGGTGCAGAATTCTTTGTTAAAAATAAGGGCCATTGGAAAATATAGGAAATCCAGTGTGTTCCTCAAATCACAAATGTTAGATAGGGGAAGACATACAGTTTCAATTTTACTGCCTATTTTCATTAATTAAGATTGTCATGTTCACATGTACTATATATTATTTTATTGTCTTGCTACAAGTATCAATAAATAATACTAATTTTTGTAAAAATTTACAGTGAATATATAAATAATTAACAGCTTTTAGACATAAATTGTTAAAACATATTTAATCCTCTCAACAGTATTATTGTCACATTAGAAAAAAAAAAAAACCCGAAACTGAGGGAAGTTCAAGTTGTAGAAGCTTCTTCATTTGTATGAAATGAAGCCAGCACAGTCTTCTATGAGAGTACATCAAAAACATCACTTGTTCCATTTGTTAATTAATCTACTGAAGACAAGCAATCAAATTCAAGCTTAAGTAATTTATGAAGGTGATGCAAAATCCAATACCAGAATCAGAGACTTCTACTGCTCCCTGGATATCCAGGTCCTCCTCTTTTATAGTTCGAATGCTTATATCCCTCCCAAAATTCATGTGTTGAAATCTGTATCCCAATCTGGTGATCTTAAGAGTTGGGGACTTTGAGAAGTAATTAGAATTCTTCATGAATAAGCTTGGTGCCTTTACAAAGGACCACAGAAAGCCCTTTCACTCATTCTTCCATGTGAGGACATAGTGAGATTCATAGTCATGGATGAATCAAGGAATAGCCCTCCCTTGACATTGAATCTTCTGATACTTTGATCTTGGATTTCATGGGATTCTGAACTATGAGAGAAAGTGTTCATTGTTTAAGCCACCTAGCCTATGATGTGTGTTGTAGCAATTTGTATTCATCATAGTCCTCAAGAGAAACAGAATCAATAAATAGATTGGTAAGTAGATAGATAGATAGATAGATAGATAGATACACTGAGGCATAGATATGTGTATATATGGAACAGAAGACTTATTATGGGAATAGGCCCATGGAATTATGGAGGTTGAATATGTCCAACATCTGTCACCGGCAGAGTAGAGAAGCAGGAACATCAATGGAATAATACTGAGTCTCAAGCCCTGGGCCCAGGGTAGCTAATGGTGTAACTATCAGCTGGTCTGTAAACGCTAGTAAGAAGGCCTGAGAAGTAGAGGGATTGCTGATCCACGTCCCAGAATCTGGAAGCCTGAGAACAAGGAGCTCTGAATCCAAGGGCAGGTGAAGATTCATATCCTGGCTCAAGAAGTGAGAGAGCCTTGCTCTGCCAGTTTATTCTATTCAGATCTTCAACACGTTGGATATAATGCTGTTGTAAAATCAATCCACATTGATGAAGGCACATCTTTAGTCTACTGGTTGCACTGTTAGTCTCTTCTGGAGACAACACCACAGACACAAATATTTCACCATGTATATGAGCATCCCTTTGCTCAATAATGTTGATACACAGAATTAACCATCACACAGCCAAAACAGACATAGACAGAAATCGGGATGAAGAGTGGAGTGGTGTTGTAACCAACCTCTAAAAATATGAAAGCAGCTTTTGCTAATCAGTAAAGAGTGGAAGAGATTTGAAGTGCATGCAAGAAAAAGTATATATTTCTGTGGACAGAATTCAAAAGCAAAGAGAATAATAGAGAAATGTTCTATCTTCTTAGAGAATAGTTTGCTAATCATGAATAGAATGCTGGTAGAAATATGGAAATTAAAGGCCATCTGATGAGGTTTCAGAAGCAAAGAACATGATGTTGAAAATGGAGAAGATCTGATAGTTATAATAAACAGGTGAACATGTTAACTAATGGGTGAGTTTTAATGTTATGATAGGTAGAACTTATGTGTGGTAAACTGTATATTTAGTTGGAGATAATCCTACCCTAAAGTATGATTGGGCTGTTCTGGACAACTTTCAGTAAGATAAAAGAAGAGAAAAATGACTTAAATGAATGACTATTAAGCAGAAAGGAAGCAGAACATAAAAAACTCAAGTAGGACTGAAGTTTGGAAATTGAGAATAGTGATTTTATTTTCATATCTATTTATTACCATAGGTGATATTATGACTGTATGTTAATGTTCTTTAATCACACTAATCATGATTACATAGTCTAGTATTTTGACTGTGTGGGAGGTATAAATTGAAAGCATTAAATGGGTTTGTAGCTTAGGATTTTACAGTAATTGAATCTTTTGCTTTTTTTGACTTAAATTTCCTTAAAAATATTGCATATCCACAGGTTCTACTTTCCAATTCCCTGTTTTAAAAATCATCTTTATTTAGTAGTGCTTTATAGTCATTAAAGTTCACAAATATTAAGTGTAGTGCTAAATGAGTGTGGAGAGAAATACATGGTCCTGTTCTGGACACCACAGTTAACATCATCTCCTCTGTTCTGGACACCACAGTTAACATCATCTCCTCTCTGTCCTGGCTCTCAGCAAACACTGAGCAGCTCTCTGTTGTTAAGTTTACCTAAGAGAAGACTTTCTCTTGTGGTATGTCTCTTGTTGGGTCTGGATTGTTTAACATAGAAAAAAAAGTTTGAGCCAGCGCCGCGGCTCACTAGGCTAATCCTCCGCCTAGCGGCGCCGGCACACCGGGTTCTAGTCCCGGTTGGGGCGCCGGATTCTGTCCCGGTTGCCCCTCTTCCAGGCCAGCTCTCTGCTGTGGCCAGGGAGTGCAGTGGAGGATGGCCCAGGTGCTTGGGCCCTGCACCCCATGGGAGATCAGGAAAAGCACCTGGCTCCTGGCTCCTGCCATCGGATCAGTGTGGTGCGCCGGCCGCAGCGCGCCAGCCGTGGCGGCCATTGGAGGGTGAACCAACGGCAAAGGAAGACCTTTCTCTCTATCTCTCTCACTGTCCACTCTGCCTGTCAAAAAAAAAAAAAAAAAAAAAAAAGAAAAAGAAAAAAAGTTTGAGAATTTTGTGTAGGTTGTTAATGGTTTCCTTAAAAGGATTCCAAATTGTCTGATAGTAATATGTCCATGCACTTAATGTCTCACTGGTGTTTCTACCATTTACACCTTCATAATAAAATGTTTATTTGTGAGTTACCTATAATTGTGTCTTTTCTTTCTAAATTCAGTTTGATAAATCTGCCGCTTAAGTAGAATATTTAGACCATTTATTTTTAATATAATTATGCATATGGTTGAGTTTAAATCTATTCCCATGCTATATATTTCTGTTTGTCATCTCTTCTTCATTGGCTTATCTTATTTGCCCCCCCAACTTGTTTTACTTATGGGCCCTTTATTGGCTTGTTACCCTTATATCTGTGTTTTATATATTAGTGAGGGCATTAGCAATTACAATATGCATTTTAATTTTGTCACAGTCTCCCTTCAAATAATATCATAGATTATATATCAAATAAGGACCATAAGATGATCTATTTTATCATTATATGAGAATTTTAAATTGTGTAAAATAGAATTAAAGGATAAATTTATTTTGATACAAAAATTTTGAAATTCATAACAGATTTTTCAAGAGTTTCATGAAAAATGTATATTATGGAAAATATGGATTAAAAATTTTGTTTTAAAATGTACTGCTCTTTTATTTCATTTTTTAACTACTTTGTTGATGTACCCCCATACTTTGTCATAAAATTGCTATATACTTTATTTCCTTTTAGATTCAATTATACTTTGATTAATCATAAATTAAAAGAAAAATTTATATGTTCATACACATTTCCCATTTTCATGTGTCTTCAATCATTTGTGAGATCCACATTTCTGTCTGTTACAATATTTCTTCTACTTGAAGACTGCCATTAATTCTTCTTACATTACATATTGGTTATCAATACATTATTTCCCATTTTGATGAGGAAAGCATCTATATTTTCTTTTTTTGACTTCACTTAAAATAATTATTGCTTTATGTAAAGAAGGGAAGATTGACAGTTTTTAAAAATTTTCCACTCAGTTTCCTGTCATTGTCACTATATCGCTTTTCATATCTGAATTATCTGTGCGCTGTAACTATTATTTTTATAGCTCTGTCATGTGCACTTTTCTCTGTGTTTTTAAAATATATTTATAATTGGCTAGCACTGCGGCTCATTAGGCTAATGCGGCGCTGGCACCCAAGGTTCTAGTCCTGGTCCAGGCACAGGATTCTGTCCCAGTTGCTTCTCTTCCAGTCCAGCTCTCTGCTGTGGCCTGGGAGTGCAGTGGAGGATGGCCCAAGTCCTTGGGCCCTGCAGCCGTGTGGGAGACCAGGAGGAAGCACCTGGCTCCTGGCTTTGGATCAGTGCGGTACGCCAGCCGCAGCGGCCATTGGGGGGGTGAACCAACGGAAAAGGAAGGCCTTTCTCTCTGTCTCTCTCTCTCACTGTCCACTCTGCCTGTCAAAAAATATATAAATAAATAAATAAATAAATAAAATATATTTATTATCATTGGAATTCTGGACCTGATTGATGATACTTGGTGTTTTATTCTTTGAGCTTCTTGGCTCTATGGGTTTATAGTTTTCATGATATGTGTTTGGAAATTGGCCATTATTTCTTTGAATATGGTGTCCATACATTCTAGGATATGGATCTTTTGCTGAGTGATATTAAATCTGGTATTAATGCTATTCATATGCCACTGATCACAGATACTGTATTTTTCAATTGGAAAACATCTTAATTGTTCTTTTATCAAATTTTTATGTATGACTTCCAT